TCCCGCCCAATGTTGTACACAAACTTCGGCCTTACTGATCCCAAACGAGAACCCAAACAAGATTGACTTATCTAGGAAACCCTCTAAGGAAACGAGGTGGTCGAGGAGGTGCGGGCACGCCTTAGGGTGCCGGGCGCGCATATCTGCCGCGAGCTGCTCATAATAATAGTCCGTTGGAGGCTCCTCGATCACCTTATCGATGTCCCAGCTCTCCACGATATGATAGCTCGGGCAGCGCGCCGTGTCGACCGCGTCTGCTGGGCGCACAGCATCACTTGCGCCTCTTTCAGCCGTGGCCGATCCCTCACGCCAGCCAGCCCAGCGTGGCCCCTTGCGCGTCCTAAAGACCGCGAGGCGTTCGGTGACGGGAACCTCATCGCTGCACGCAACGCTTTCCGCCACACGCAAATCCCTCGTGTCCCAAAGACGCCACGCCTCACCTGCGCGCTGAAGCAAGCACGTTTCGTAAGGCGCCTTCTCGACCGCCATGGTCCCAAGGTCCTTCTGCGCAGGGCGCCTACCCCACACAGACGCGTAACCACCTGGCGCCTCCCACCAGCTGTCGACGCTTGGAAGGTGGTCCAAGCAAGTAAGCACTCCAGGCTCCTCAACAGGGCGCCCAACCGGGCCGCTCCCGCCCCACACCGAAGCGAGAACAGTCACCGCAGCAAGGACCGATAGCACACCGATCCTGGCGCCGGTACGCAGCCGCCCAAAGGACCGCGCACACGAGGAACAACCTTGGAAGCTTCTTGCCGCGGCCCTGGACGCGGACCCGCAAGCAAAGCACGGGTCATGGTCAACCGAAGCAACGGCGACCCCACAATCCGCACATGCCTGCGGAGACGGCTCTGACTCGAACACCGTCTCAATCGCGCCACAACCACAAGCCGCAGTGCTGACGAGGCCGGAACGCACTTCCGCAACAACCTCGCCTGGCTGGAGAGAGTGATCACACTCTTGGGCTGCAAGCAAAACAAACCCTTTACCCTCTCCTGTGGGCCAGAGACCTGGCACAGCCTCAACCCCACACTCAACCGGAAGCACAACCTCGGACAGGGATCCCTCTGCGGAGACTCCTGACTCCCGCACGACTGGCACCAGCACCCCATCACCTGGCGAGAGCTCGAGCGGCTCTTCCCCGTCATAGCGGAGAAGCTCACGACTTCCGCCCCCAGGCTCGATGCATGACGCGTCGTCCAGGCTTGACAACCGCGCTTCAAAGGCATAGGCCCTGTCCTTCCGAGTCCTACTGTGATCCTCACATCTGGGCATCCTGATTCCCAGCGTGTCGAGGACATGAAAGTCGGGACCCGGCCTGAATCCCAAGCCCATCCTTCCGGCGCAGTCCAGCGCTCTGCCGCCAAGGATAAGTCCGTGCCAATCGGACGTGCCTCTGGCTGCGATTTTACACCGCACAAAAATCTCGGTGTTGGGGCGACAATCGTCCGCCGTCTTGCCTTCCAGCAGCGTGACGCGCAAGACTGCTGCCCCTTTCAAAGGAACTGGGGCCCCCGATGCGATTCCATGCACATATTCGGGGTGGACCCACTTCTCAAGTCTCACGACCGGAAAGCCAGGATCCTCAGTGCCGATCCCAAGCTCTGCAGCCCGGTTCATCATGCCTACCACGAGTTCCTCAGTCACGTGGTTTGCGCCGGCGCAACCGTCAAGCATGCACTCGACTTTGCGGTCGAGGACCTGGACCACCGTTCTGTACTGGTAGCCTCCTGGCTCGTTGTCCGCCAGGTTCCACCAGTCCTTCGGTAGATCGTCCAAGGTGGCGAACTTGTCCCGCCCGCCCTTGCTTAACGGAAGCGCGTGCTGCTGCACCGCGGCGTGTCCTGCGGCTCCTAGGACGCCTGCCTGGACGCCTGAGCTGCCTATCTGGACACTGAACGCGGCGAAGGGGTTAGACATGGAAGCACCGGAGGGCGGGGCCCAGTTGGCAGGCAAGGCCGGCGTCCCTCCTGAGGTCGTCAGGTTGTGGACCATGTCGCAGCTGGCTCCTTTCTTGCACGACCCATTCTTGGAGAAAAAGGGGCAAACAGTGCCTGGTGGCTTTGCCGCGCCTTTGGCCGCAGCCTTAGGCTTTGCGTTGGCTTTTGCTTTGCCACCTCCCTTCCCTTTGCCTTTACCTTTCGCAGTGGCAAAGGTTTGGTCACCCTTCTTGGCCGCGAGAGCTTTTCTGCGAAGCTCCTTGTCGTGGCTGTACGGGCAGGCATCCCCTTTCGGGCAATTCCCACGATCGCGAAAGTGGAAGCAGATCTTCTTGTCCGCTCCTTTGCCAGCTCCCTTCGACGTAGCAGCATACGTCTGGTCCGCGCCAGCTTTGGCCGCGGCAGCTGCTCCTTTCGCAGCAGCCTTCGCAGCGGCCTTGAGACTCTTAATCTCCTTCTGAGCCTCAGCCAGCGCGACCGCCGGGTCCGCGCTCTGCGAACCGGTGGCCGTGTACACAGAGTGGGAAACAGCCCTGTGCGCTGCTTCTCTCTGCTCGTACTCCAGAACGACTTTGTGGCTCTCCTCCCAAGTCTGCGGTCCTCGCAACCCGCCATCCTTGGGGTCGCCAGGCCACAACCTTTTGTCGTTCCGGATCTCCTTTTGGAGATAAGGGGGCATCTTGCGGAGGTATGAGAGATACAACTCTCGAGGGGTCTTCCCGAGACCTACTGCCTCAAGGTCCGCGATCGAGGCCTCAAACAAAGGCTCGAATTGGTGGCCTGTGAGCTTACCCTTAGCGAGAGAGGCGTGCTCACCATCCACGCGGACTTCTCTTTCCTCCCGCGATTCCCCGAACATCAAGTGTTTGTTCTTGATGCGGTCATACACCGCCTGTGGATCTGAGAGAACCTCTCCCGATTTCCACGCTGCGCGGTACGCGTTCGTGTACGTCTTCATGCGCGAGCCGCGGCAGCGCCCGCGTAGCGCTAACAGCTTTTCGCGCGCACTCATACCGCGACAGTTGTTGGCCAGCGCGCAGACGTCCTCGAACTCCTCGTAGAACAGGACAACGTCTCGCGCGTCCGACTTGTCGTCGGTCAGCGTCGGCCACGTGAGGTCAGTTTTGACCGTAGTTATGGAGCTTTGCCCGCCCCTCTGCGCTAACGCTTCTTTCAGCGCCTCAGTTTGGGCGGCGAGTGCGGCGGCGAGATCGCCCGCCGGGTGTTGGGACCCGGTCTGCGAACCTCCGCCGTCTGAACCTCGCTTCAGGGCTTCTATCTCCATCTCTAGCGCAGCAAGCTTCGCGCGCAAAGGGGAATCGCCGTCCGGCGCGCCCAGGACACGGGCCGCGGAAGGACCACCTGCAACCTCAGCAGTGTGCAAACCTCCACGGTCCAATCCTACCCCCAACCCACTCGCAGTCGCAGGCTGTGGGAGCCCTGGGGAACGCGGCCCCACGGCTTCAACTGGCACATCGGACGGGGAGCTCCAAACCTTCTCTTGGCTCGAGCTTTCTTTTCCCCCTAACGCGAGGATAAGCTCCCCGATGCATTGGATTTCGCGCTGAATCTCCTCTGCGTCTTCGGGGTCCTCGCCACCGCGCAAAGCCGCGACCGAGAACCTGGTCCGCAGCCGACGGACCATCTTCGTAGGATGCCAGTCCCCGCCTATCTTGGAGAACTCATCCGCAAGGAGGGTGGCTTTGGTGCTTAAGGCGTCAAGGTCACGGGAGCTCACCGTGACTCCATGCGCTTTCAGCGCGAGGACAATCCGCGAAACGCGCGTCAAGTAGTCCGCGACCGGTTCTTGGTCTGGACGGAAAATCGCGCGCAGCTCCGCCTGCAAGCCCTCTGCGGTGCCTGGCACTGAACCTGCTGTCGACGGCGGACCGGACGGTCCCGCCGGGCGGGACCCTGGTGCCGTAGCAGGGACATAGGCAGCACCGGTAGGGACCATGGCCAGCTCCCTAGCCGCGGCGCTGACGTCCACCCGCGGCGGACTGTCGCCTCCAGCGCCCGAGGCCTCAGGGACTAGCTCGGAGTCCTCTTCTTCTTCCTCTTCATCCTCGTCCTCCTCTTCGGCGTCATGGAGGAACTTCATGACTTTCCGCCAGAGAGCCGCCTCTTGCTCTGGCGTAGTGCTGACCCCATCCCGCTTGGACAATGGACGGCTGCCAGTCTCCCTACGCCACTTAAGCCAAGCGACGTAGCTCATCCGCTCGGGATAGGGAACGTCTCCACCCTCGATAGCTTCGAGGAGGGTGACGCCCTCAGCCTGACCTGCAACCTCTGCGGACATTGCCGCAACACAAGGCGAAAAGCCGCGCCTTGGTTAGCAGGCCGCAGGCGTGGCACGCGAAGCGCCGCGCCTTGGTTAACAGGCCGCAAGCGTGGCACACAGTCCACGCGTCCAGGTCACGGACCGCGACAGACAAGCAAAGCAATGCTTGCCCACTCGGGCCGTAGGCACAAGAGCTGTACGTTTCCCAGAACAGCCCCCAATTGTGAAGTCGACCAGCACTGGACTTGCACTAAGCCAATGCAATCACAGCCCGGTCACGCTGTTTTACGACTTCGTGAGTCCAAGCACTTGTGCAGCTACGCCTGAGTGCGTCCGGTCGGACCGCACAGCAACCTAGGAGCTACTGTACGACTCTACCGTGCTCAAAGGCACAAGCTCGGTACTTGAGCCAAAATATTGGCATTGATACGAATTGCAAATCTACACATGCAAAGGAAAACTACAGTACTGGTTCTGGCAGCTCTGCACATGGAACGTGCGTGCTTAGACCTGCTCACAATACATACATACATACATACATACATACATACATACATACATACATACATAAATACATACATACATACATAGATAGATACATACATACATACATATATACGTATACATCTCTTTCTTATTAATACAACATGTTACATACATGTGACACCAAAAAGCAGACATTTGTGTGTCTGTCCATACGACGACTTACTTTGAAAAGAAGATAAACCCTAAACCCTAAACCCTAAACCGTCAGCCGTCCGCAGATAAACGCGAGATGCTCTCCTGGACCGCCGCCAGGACGACCTTTTTCCCAAAGTCAGACATGCCCAGGGAGGGTTTAGGGTTTAGGGTTTAGGGTTTAGGGTTTAGGGGGTAGGGTTGAGGAAGCCCAAAGGACGTTTTGTTTTGCCTTTTTGTGTATTCTTGGGGGCAAGAGGCATCTTGTTTGCGACTTTCGCACTCGCACACGACAGGCAAAACTCCCGAGGGTTTGAGCAATTTGGGAGGGGTCTAGCGGATTTTTAGGCATGCGGCATTCGGGGGTTTTGGGCGATTGGGCTCTATCCAGCAAACCCAAGACTTCCGCGCTGGACGTGGACCGTGCAGATGCGAGACCTCCTTAGGACCGCGCTACAAAGTAAGGGTTTCTGCTTTAGGGTTTAGGTAAGGGTGCGCAAGTGTCTGTTCGCTCCATGGACGATCGGGGTCACCTCCTGTGATTGAAGTGTCCCTTCCCTTAGTTCACTCACCCCCCTGAAACTCCAAATCACACAGCACACTGCAACCCAAACCCTAAAACCCCAAAAAAGCGGAAACTAGTATTTTAAAAACAAACCTTAACCCCCCTCACCGGCGAACCTCCTGGTCGCGCTGCAACTTCTCCGTGGCAAAACCCAGGGCCCAGCCGTGCGCCTGGGGGACTTGAGGGCTCCAGCATCCCAAGATTCAGGGCTTACTAGGGTGTAGTAGATTTATTAGGGTTTTTTAGGGTTTATTAGGGTTTGTTAGGTTTGTTCGGGTTTGTTAGGGTTTATTAGGGTTTATAGGGTTTAGACGGCTTAGAGTTCAGGGTTTGTTGGGGGGCTTTTTTTCGCCGGACGAGCTGTGCTGAAACCGGATGTCTCGTCACGTTTAGGGTGTTCAGGATGCTTCAGCAGGTTAGGGTTTAGGGTTTAGGGTTTAGGGTTTAGGGTTTAGGGTTTAGGGTTTAGGGTTTAGGGTTTAGGGTTTAGGGTTTAGGGTTTAGGGTTCAGGGTTCAGGGTTTAGGGTTTAGGGTTTAGGGTTTAGGGTTTAGGGTTTAGGGTTTAGGGGTGTTGCTTCCCGCCTGGCTGAACTGACGTGGTCAGTGCTTCGGGACCTATTTTCCGGGCTGGAGGGGTCGAGGGCCAGCTATTTTGGGATGGGCTGGGATGTTCCCCCTTATACTAACAGCCCTTGATCGTTTCTATAAGATTGGGTACTATAATCCCAAGGGATGGGCTTGGACATTCGGAGGGGAATTCCAAAGACGACCCCCCCCCCGGCCTGAACCCTAAACCCTCTCTCTCTCTCTCTCTCTCTCTCTCTCTCTCTCTCTCTCTCTCAGGCATTCGAAACCCTAACCCTAAACCCTAAACCCTAAACCCTAAACCCTAAACCCTAAACCCTAAACCCTAAACCCTAAACCTCCCCCCCCCCCGCCTGAACCGCTGCCAGAACCACATCTCGGTCCGCTCTCAGCCGCGCCGGGGCCGCCGCCAGGGCTGCAAGGCATTGTCCTCTGCATTTATGGTTTAGGGTTTAGGGGTTTAGGGTTTAGGGTTTAGGGTTGGGGTTTAGGGCTCATTTTTGTGCTGTTCACCTTCCTTTTAGGGGACTCGTGGGGGGGGGGGGGGGGGGGGGGGGGGGCAGGCTGCCTGAAAAAACAAGACCGGGCGGGCATTCGCGTGCAGTCCGGAGTATCCACTGTGGCTCACTGTGACGGACTTTGAGAGTCCCTGCAATGCACATGACTCCTCAGGTAGTTGATGGCCACAGCGCGGGGCCTAACATGTTCGGAGTACCGATAATGTATTCTTCTTTGCCTTGCATAACAAGAGGCAGCCAAAAACAGTGCTCAAGAGTGCCCAGCCGATGCGCGCTCGTTCCAGAGCTCATAGTTTCACGACCCCCTTCCCTTCCCCTAGGGTTTAGGGCCTCCGTGTTTTTGGTTTGTTAGTTTCCCCCCTTTCTCGGGGTTTGTAGGACCGCCCTCCTCATAGGGTTGTAGTGTGGGACCCCAGTGTCCCGTTTTGCATGAGTGGTCACTGCATAGGCCTTAGTATGCCTGGTTTGTGACGTCCCCTGCCTGGACTTTCTGAGAGACCGGGCGGGCATTCCCCCCAAACACAGAAAAGCGCTACGCTTTCGTGGGAGTACTCAGTATCCCCTAACCCAACTTACTATCCCTACTAAGTCAAAAGAGCTTGCAAGAAAGGCTGGCAAGACGGGTCCTTGCTGGATGTCTTGGAGCAGCCGGCGCCGTTCCTGCCGGGGGCTTGACAGGCTCATGCGAAACACTGCGAAACCAATTTCGTAACAAGTAGAGCCAAGTAGGCTCGAATTCGCTCCTCGGCGAGCCTCTAAGCTGCCGAAAGAAACTAAGAAGCGTCACCGGGTGGGTTTTGAAAGGAGCTGCGACTACAGAACCAAGACGGAGCTTGTGAATCCCGGGAGCCACCCTCAGCGCCTCGTCCCCCTCGCATCCCTGAAGCTCAGGTCCTGCAGGGATGGAGAGCTTCAGCCTACTGGATGTGATACCCTACACCTGTTCCAGCCTTGAAGTGCCCTTGTCACGCAACATCTACCCCCCCCATAAGCCAACTCTGCATAGATGGTATACATTACCCTCATGCTTAGCCCCGAGAGAGCCAAGATGAGCCAAGCTAAAGGCAGCCTGACAGCGACTTTACCACGAGTGCCTTGATAAGCCCTCACCTCCAAACCTTAGAACCTTTAAGAATCATATATTTAATGCCTCTTGGGTTTTTATATAACAAAAATTATTTTAAAAAATTCCCAAGGGGTATATAGAAAACAAGCCTGTCCGGACCGAAGCCTCACTAAGCCACGTAAGGGAGTGTTTAGGACTTCCATTCTGGATAGCGAAGACACTGTGCGCACTGGCATGGAGCCGCAACGACAGCACGACTCTGGCCTGAAGTGAGTCCATTGCCATCTCCTGCCAGCTCCTGCCGGGGTCTCCTCTCTCCCTCTCTCTCCGCCCTTACTTCCAGCAAGCGTGCCCTGGTAAGCGAGTGTGTTGGAGTGTGGGTGCTTCCATGTACTGGGTGTCCAGTGGGTGTCTATGCACCTGCGTTCCTCTCTCTCTGCTCTCAAGCGCTCTCCGGCAGCTTCTTGGCCGCGGCAGCATACAGGTCTCGCTTGTAGGCCCGGCGGCTGGCTTGGTCGCAGCTGGCGCCTGCTCCCATGGCCGCAGAGTGAACCTGCCTTCCAGCGATAATTCTCCGAGTAATATTTCAGAGTGAAGCACTTGCAAGCTCTGGTTCTGGAGGCCCCGTCCTACCTCGAAAGCATCATGTAGGGCGCGAAAAGCTCTGAGGTCTTCTTCGGCTTCGGCCGATGTAGTGCTTCTTCCAGCTATTGAAGAAGAGATGTGAGGCAGACGGCGCAAGTGGTTGCCAACATTGGTTCCGAGCGGAGGCTGAAGTCTCTATAAGTGTTCCGATGCACTAGAGGATTGGTACAGCCTCAGCTGGTGAAGGGGTTACCGAGCCATTGCCGAGCCCGGCGTCAGTGCACAACAACTCCGCCAAGTTCAGCAGCAATCTCCGCCCTCGGCCTAATCGTTGCCTAAAGCCCTGACCCGACGGAAGCTTTGTTTCTTTTCTCATGTTTCGCGCGACTTGCAGGCGTATCGCGAGAACGGAGACAGGCAGACGATGCATCGCCTGCCATTCTCCCATTGGCCCAGGATGCTTCGAGTGACACCTGGGCTTGCCCTTCACACCCCTCGTCTACGCACGTGTGTCTGTGTGTGTGTGTGCGTGTGTGCATGCATGTCTTGCGCACGGACATTTACTCGGCGACACAACTTTCAAAGATGTTCTAAGCCCATTACTTAGACAGCATTCCGAAGAGCGGTTCATCCATCCCTTTCGGGCGGCTCCATGTAAACATCCCAGAACACCGTAGCAAGCCTCTAAGCTCACCTCACATCCATGAGATGCTGTGGGCTGCAGCATCTTCTTCCCCCCGAAAAGTGTGCACCCGAAACCCTAAACCCTAAACCCCAAACCCTAAACCCCAAACCCCAAACCCCAAAGCGTCGAGAGTGCCATGAGTACTAGTGCTGGGGGGCTTGCTGGTTCTGAAGGGCGCTTGCCTGCATGTGTGACACACTTTGGCTCAAGTCTCTTCCAGGCTGGAAGCTCCCGAGGAAGGGTTTAGGGTTTAGGGTTTAGCGGTTTAGGGATTTAGGGTTTAGGGGTTTAGGGGTTTAGGGGTTTAGGGATTTAGGGATTTAGGGATTTAGGTTTTTTTTTTTTTTTTTTTTTTGGGGGGGGGGGGGGGGGGGGGGGGGGCGGGGCGCAGGTTTAGGGTTTAGAGATTAGGGTTTCGGAGAGGGATGCTTGCTCTTAGCCATCGGAGGTGGTACTTTTCACACAACAGAACAGCAGCCACAACAATCCAGCCTCTTGTTCTGACCATGCCATCATTCAGCCTTGTAGTCCCTACACATGTTTATACACATACGTATATGTATACAGATATATAGCATGGTGGAACTACTTTTTGATCAATCTAGACAAAGAAAAAGCACACAATAGAGTGTTTTGGTTAGATAGCTTGTTTTTGCTCAATTTCAACACGCAAGTCTTGTTTGCCAAATTGCAGACTTTGGTTACATCTAAAAACACCTGCTTCTTTACATACATACATTTATGCACACAAATGCATACATACGTGCATGCATACATGCATGCAAAAAAGGTCTCTTACAACCTTCTCGAAGTCTCTAGCTTGGGCTTCGGGGTGTTCTCGTACAACTGTTGAGGCGCGGGGGAGAGCCGCCTTAGAGTTGAAAGTGCGAGTCCTAGATTGCTAGATGGGGGGGTTTCCGAAACTCGGGATACCTTTTTTTGGGTCCGGGATCCTACATTTTTGGGGATCTATATCGGGGTCCCCTATCTTCGTAAACCCCCAGATGCTCTGGGGGTCAGGGCTTCCTAAAATCAGGCACAAAATCTTTGGAGAGCTTCCAGCCCACCGGCGCTCTGTTCCTTCTGTGGGATATAGCAATCAGAGCTCTTGCTGATAGGTCGCAGTCGGCTTTGGTGGACCTGCCTCTTATCCTCACAATCTTCGTGGCAAAAACCAGCTGGCAAAGAGGCCTCCGCAACTGAGTGGAGAGAGGACTTGGTGGGCAGAAGTGAGTGGTCCCCTAGCGCTTCTGAGGATTTGGTCTTGCAGTCCTACCAAGCTGAGCAGGAGCTCTGTACTCCCCCCTTCTGAATGCGAAGCTCCCAATGCAAGTAGTTGAGGGCTTTTGGCCCCCCGGCATGTTCCTAAAGGTACTTGTATGTGCAAACCCTAAACCCTAAACCCTAAACCCTAAACGAGCCGACAGCCGCCCAAGCTTCAAATAGTAAAAACGCGAGCTCGGGCTCTGCCTAGTTTGAAAGCCCTATACCCTACAATCATGGGACTCTACTTTGGGCTCCTAAGGTTGTACTCTTAAGGGTTTACAGGATCCTCCTACGGGAATATGCGGGCCATGTTAGGTATGTTAAGGGGAGCCTTTGGGGGTACAACCTCAAGGGCACGAGTCGTGACCCTTGCCACAAGTCCAACCAGCAGTATCTTTGGGTGGCCCTTAAAACCCTCTTTAAAAAAATTCCTGAACATGATCCTCGCTAAACCCTAAACCCTAAACCCCCAAACCCTAAACACTAAACCCTGAAACCCTAACCAATAAGGGGAAATCGAATAAAAAATTGTCCCAAGGGCCGACCGAGGCATCTTTGGGTGGGGGAGCTTCGGCTTTTCAGACAGAGCGGATCGCGCTGAAACGTCGGACAGGCTCCACAAGGCTGTTAAGGGAGGCGCAAGGCCAAGGCTGTTCAGCTGGTTCAGGTTCGCGGGCTCTGGAATCTAGAACATGAAGCCGGGAAGCCCAAAATGGCTTGGGAAACGTGGATGGTCTGGGAAATAGGTACAGGGGCTGGCATGCAACTTGCTGCGTAACTTGGGACCTCCTCTTCCCAAACCGAGGTTTAGGGCTTAAACCCTAAACCCTAAACCCTAGACCCTGGTTTATGCAAAACAGGTTTAGGCTGCTTTTTCAGGTTGTTGGGTGTAGGGATGCACTCAGAAGTTCAGGGCCTTCTGAGTAAGAGCCAGCCCGAGCCCTTGTTGGAACCTGCTAACCATCCCCTCCGTGGGGATGTCGAGTGGTGATTTGCACTTGAGAAAGGGGGGGGGGGGGGGGGGGGCGCTTTCGGATTCTCTTCTGCAGCTAGCAAGAAAGGCATCCTATCCCGTGCCCCCAGAAACCCCTCTCTGATACAGCAGAAGTGCATGCAAGCAGAAGAACCTACGTATACAAGCCTTCGTCACCCTACGTCGCCGACGTTTTCCGAAAGATCACCGCTCGTTCTGGAAACTGCCCAGGCAGCTACAGTCTCTGGGCGGACTTCTGGATCCTGTCAACCTCTCACAGACTCTCACAGCCATCCAACTCACAGCCTCAGGCTCCGTTTAGGGTTTAGGGTTTAGGGTTTAGGGTTTAGGGTTTAGGGTTTAGGGTTTAGGGTTTAGGGTTTAGGGTTTAGGGTTTAGGTCGAAGTTTTGGGGTGGGGATCTGAGGCGCTTCGGGGACCTGGGGCGTGGGAAACTCGTTTGGGGCTCTTCTGTTTGTTCTGAATAGGGGCTGCTGCGAAAGCGTAACAAAACAAAGCTGCAAGAGAGAGCGAGAGAGAGAGGCTCCCCTATATCAGCGGGAGCTGTGGACAAACCGATACTCCCCTCAACAAACAGCAGGATAAACAAAAGCAAGTGTCCTGCGTAACATATTCCCTTCGGATCTGATACCGAAAAGAGAACAACATTCAAACATTTCTTATTAGAGAAGCCAACGGTTGCTATAGGCGGCTTGGGCGGCTGCGCCACGGCTACGCGGTCCACTCTTCCATGGGTCGGCCCTCGGCAATCTGCTTTCGGATGTAGGCCTCACGGGCGAGGCGAGGCGACTCGAACAGGGGGATTTCAGGGCAGAGTTTTGCTACAAGCTTCTAGTTTCAGGTTGAAAAAGGGTCTCAAAGCCCAAACTCCTGCTCTAGCATGTAGTAGTATACAGTAATGCAGAAGCGGTACATAAGAAACATACAGCGATAGACCGCAGAATGACTTGCAACACAAAGGAAAACAAAAAAAAGCGTTTCGGGCGCCTGCAGGTTTTGCTGCAGCTCCTTGCGCACACGGTCGGCGCCCGCTTGGAGTGCCGCGGCTGCTGCGGCTCCGGTAAGACCCTCTGCCTCCTGGGTACTCAAGGGTTTAGGGTTTAGGGTTAGGGTTTCGGGTTTAGGGTTTAGGGTTGAGGGTTGAGGTTTGAGGGTTGAGGGTTGAGGGTTGAGGGTTTAGGGTTTAGGGTTTAGGGTTTAGGGTTTAGGGTTTAGGGTTTTTTTGGATAAAGTGTTTTTTGGTTTTGGGGTTTTTCACGCTAGGGGCTCAAGGGGGAGGTTCAGGGGGTTCAGGGTTTTGTTGTGTATTTGAGCTTTCCCACTTGCGGGGAGGTGCGTAGAGATGGCAAGGAGAGAATTTGAGGCGGCCCGGGGCGGCTTGCACAGCGTCTGTGTTCACCTGTTGAGTTGTAGCGCCGACAGGAGTTCTGACGAGCGTCCTCAGCAACACCAAGAGCCTCCCAAAATAGCCGCAGCCCGAACGCACACATATTGCACTGAAAGGGGCCCCATAAGCTGCCCCGAATCCTAACCCAACGCCCCAAAGAGCGCAATATCCCAAAGAACCAAGGAATATACCGTAAAATCAACTGAAGGGTTTATATATAGTTTAGGTGCATTCCTCAACTTGGGCGAGGGAACTAGGTACCCAAGACCCCCCCCCAATATGTACCCTTTAAGGGTATATATAGGGGTACCTCATTCCCCCATTCACTACGAAGGGTTTTTTGCCACCTGCCTAGCTGACACTCAGGCCACGTTGCAGGGACTCGTTCAGGAAATGACTGCTATCACAGAAAGGAGAAATCGTGCCTTTAAAGAAAAACAGAAAGTTTCAGCGTTGTCTCAGAGACTCCAATCACGGTAGTAGGTTGCACAAAGGGGGTGTTCTGCCTAAGACTAGACTTCCGAACCGATGACTAATCACCCGAATCCTACGAAGGGTTTAGGCTTAGTTAGGGGGTTTAGGGCTTAGGGTTTAGGGTTTGGGGTTTAGGGCTTAGGGCTAGAAGAGGCGCCTTGCATCCGTCACCCTTCTCCGGCTTCTCCATGCCTTTGGGCTTCGGCACAAATGCCGGCTCCTGGAAAAAGACACGGGTGCTTAGGTGTGAAGGCCGCAAACCCGAAACCCTCACCCTAAGCCCTAAACTCTTGATTGGAAATACTTGAAGAACAGGAGCGGCTTGAACCCGCGCGATCCTGCCTGACCCCTTTTTGTAACCCAGGACTGATGATGCTCCGGCCAGCCTGACCCTAAACGCCTGAACCCGAAAAACCAACCCTAAACCCTATACCCTAAACCCCTTTGTCTTTGGCCCCAGAGACACCTGAGGTGGAGGTGGTGGGCGACGATCCTCACCACGGCGGTCACCTCCTCCCAGCGCTTGAGGGGCTCTTCTTGCTGGGGCGTGGGTAGCGTTGGGTTGCTTTTTGGCCACCCGTCTTTAACCTAAAGTCTGCAGAAAATGTGGCGCTGTAAACGCCCAAGCTCGGATCATGACGCCAGACTTCAACGGCTGCATCTGCTGATAGAGCCATGGACACACGTGCTAGACGGCTCTGTGCCCGCAACATGCATGCAAACACCCCCGCATGCCTTTAGTGTGAACTGCACAATCCCTGCAGGCATCACCCAGCGCCAACCCCTACTTGAAGGTTTGTGGGCAGGAACAAGTACGAGTTGAAGGTGAACTGTATCAAAACTTCAGCTACAGTACTTAGATGCCTACCTAGACACAAGAGTAATCTAGGAATAAACAAGGGTGCCCGTTTTGGTTTACAGGGGCTGATAAGGGAACCCAAACCCTAACAAAAGGCGAATAAGGGCCTACTCTGGGTCCTTGCTACTTTAACAAGCACCCATGAACCTTCAAGTCAGGACCCTTGTCAGCCCTCAAATCGAAGTCCCAAACCCTAAACTTCTAAACCCGAAACCCTAAACCCTGAACCTTAAACCCTAAACCTTAAACCCTAAACTCTACACCCTAACCCCAACCTCGGTCGTCGCGGCGATCCCTGTCTCCGTCACCTGGGGTTTTTTGGGGGGCTCCGAACAGAAGCTGTGAGGGATTTCATCCGAAATTCATGTGGGGGGTTGTCGTGCTTATTTTATACTTTGTGCGTGCGTGTGTTCTCTTTGTGTTGTTTTTTTGGGGGAGGCGTCTCTGTAAACATCGGATGTTCCGCATCGTTTAGAAGGGCAACAAACAAGGCCCGCGACTTACTTAGCTGAACCGGATTCCGGAAGTGTAGTTATTACTAGGCTGCTCCCGTGTCCTCTGCCACTGTCACCTTTGGCAGGAACAGAGGGTGTTGTCAGGTTTCATCCGAAAAGATGCCGTCTGGAGACCTGCTTGCAATGTACATTGTGTGAACTACGAAGCCTTTTTTCGGACTGGCTTCCTGGCTTCCAGGGTGCGTGCATACTCTTCCTAGCAGCAGCCCTATAAACCCCAAACCCTACGTGGTGCTGCCAATTATTCCTGGCCCCGAACCGCACCAGAACCATGTTTCGGGGGCTTGACCTAAACCCGAAACCCTAAACCCTAAACCCTAAACCCCAAACCCTAAACCCTAAACCCAGAGACTTGCCCTTCTTTGTGTTGCTTCAGGTCTCCTGGGGTTGGTATGCCTCTTACCCTAAACCCTACAACCTGAAACCCTGAACCCGAAGCCCTAAACCCGGGAATCCGAGGCAACTCTTGGGGATCTGCTGACTGCTGAGCCCCATCAGGCCAATATCACCTAGAATTGGCCCCTTGGTCTGCTCAACCCTTTCTAGTACCCCCTTCGAAAAAAAGAAAAAAAAAAAAACAACCTCCACTTCACCTGGATAGATAGGAAACCCTCCCAAGAACCCTGAACCTTGAACCCTAAACCCTAAACCCCCCTCCGAGCCCAGCCCCAGAGATCCGTTGCAATCTGCGCCGCGGTCATCGCGGCGGCCCCTTGACCGAGAGCGCCGGTCCCGCCGATCCCGGTCGTCGCGGTCGCGGTGGCGGCTGCGACTCCTGGCTCCATTAGGGGGTTTAGGGTTTAATCGCTCACACTCGGTTTAGGGTTTAGGGTTTAGGGTTTAGGGTTTAGGGTTTAGGGTTTAGGGTTTAGGGTTTAGGGTTTAGGGTTTAGGGTTTAGGGTTTAGGGTTTAGGGTTTAGGCATTTTGCGGGTTCGGGTGGAGGGTTTTGGGCTCATAGCCTCCAGCCAACTTAAAACCCTAAACCACAAAAACCCTAAACACCCCTAAGCCCTGAATAACTTGACCCCCAAACCACTCATCCTTACACCTTGTGTTGATGGATGTCGAAGCCAAACCTGCAACCTTTACGCCAACGGCTCTCGGTGTCCTGGATGGTGGGGCTGCGCGGTTCGTGTGGGCTCATGCTTCTCAACTAGCACGAGTGCTACTTTGAAGAGTCGTTGGGGCCAAGTGCGTTCTAGCCCTAAACCCTAAATCCTAAACCCTAAACCCTAAACCCTAAACCCGAAACCCTAAACCCTAAACCCGAAACCCTAGGGGCCGAGCTTGAGGCAGCTCCGGCTCAAGGAGTCCTGCCCCCACCACCACGGCGGCCCCCTCGATCGTCGCGGTCGCGGCCCCGGTCTCCGCCACGATCCTTGGGGGGGGCTTCAGGCTTTTTGGGGTTTAGGGTTTAGGATTTAGGGTTTAGGATGGTTTAGGGTTTAGTCGCTCAGGGTTTAGGGTTTAGGGCTTGGAGTCTGGAGGACTACGTCGCAGGAGCTGCAGGATCTTCAGGTTCAGGTCTTGATGAGGTGCTGAACTCAGTCCGCAGCCTGAGGAAGTGCTTGCTGGAGAGTCGTCTGAGATACTATGACCGTATGTGCCCAGGAGCCAAAAAGCCGCAAAGCATTGACCTGCATCCTGCTGACTTTAGCAGTCTTAGCCTTTTAGAAGCCTAAGCACTGGCGACCAGTCTTGAAGCACAAGCCCTGTGCTGGCACAATGACAGGAAGAGAGAATTGGGGGAGATATTCACCATGACAGGAAAGGGAGGGAGAGAGCGGGAGAGAAGCTGCGCGCGTGGGTGGGTCGGTGGGTAGGTACATGCAGATACAAATCCGACATTTCAGATGTAGGTTCAGATTGATAGAGACCGACTCATGGCGCACATTGTTTCCAGGCGTGGTGCGGACAGATGTCAAGAGCTTCATGTCAGTTCCTTCGTCAAGAAGCGATCATGCTTATGTTGGAGGTAGGACGCATGATATACCCAAGTCCCCGAAGCCGGAACTCTGTTTCAGTTACAGCGTCACGATCGCCACCACGGTCGCCTCCCCGATCGCCACCCCGGTCACCTCCGCGGTCGCCTGGGACGAGCATTCCAAGGCCATGGAGCCCGAAACGCGGAGTCGTAGCTCTTGGCGTCTATCAGGGTTTGGGCTACCTGAGGTTCCCAAACACTAGTTTGGGGTCTGGGAAGCTTCAGTGGCTTCGGCAGTTGCTTCGAATGCATTCTGGATGCCACCACCGCCGCCACCACCACCACCGCCACGATCGTTGCGGTCGCCGTTCCTAAGATGCCGAAGACATGACATCCGGTTGTCACCTGTGTGTGTGCTAAGCCGCGACAACGGAGCTCTTAACCCACACGTGACCAGGTAGCCATTCTTCAAGATGCCCACACTTAGTGACTGGCGACCAAAACCGGTGTACCCTTAGGCGGGCTTGGCTTGGGAGTGGGGAGTGGCAGTGAGGCATGCGCAGAAGCACCCCTTATCCTCAGATTTAGCCCTATAAGGCCCTATATAATCAGATGCCTGCCCCCACAGATCCTAAATCTTTGCTATAACGATTGCTCGAGAAAACGCAGTGCAACCCCCTGAAGCATCTGAAGCCTTAATAGGTCGAAGGCCACACATATATAGGTATATATATATATATGTCTATCTATCTATCTATCTATATCTATATCCATAGCTATATCTATTGATGTATTTATTGATTTATACTTTAATCTATTTATTTTGCTTGTATTTATATTTATATTTGTAACTTAGATTTGTATTTATGTTTGTATTTATATTGAGATTTATATATGTATATGTATATTCATATTTCTTTATCAACATCTGCATAAACACACACACATACACACATACATATCTATATAATATATGTATATATATATATATATATGTATATGCGCACACACGCACATGCCCGCACACCCTGGCCCTCACACCTTTGGACACCGCTGGCTGCCATGACTCTTTTGGCGGTCGAGCCAACTCCCAGGGCCCGGGCGCCCGGGCGGTCCTTGAAACGCGGAAATCCGAAAACTCGAAAACTCGGTGGAGGCTGCAAGCATTGCATGCCCAGTGGGGCTTCGGAAAGGTGTAGGGGCCATGAAGCCTCCGCAATTCGGGCGATGCTCAGTATCGGGCCCGCGAGGCCAAGATAATACCCGGAAGGCTTAGAGCTGAGTCAAGAGGGACTATCAGAATCACTGCGAATATTCCATATGCCTTTTATCGGATGGCGTTTCAAGGGGCTTATGGACCCGCAGTCGGTTCGTCAACTTGCACCTTGCTTGCCAGGTCGCCCAAGGGCTCGCCGTTCGCAAGCTTCTTCATCAGGAGCATTGCCGTGGCAGAAGGCTTGCCGGAGCATTCAAAATGCCTGGCCGTGGATCCCATGACATCTTGAACGTGACCGAGTGCGACGACGCACGACCGCATTGGCGCTTGTTCAGGCGCTGTTGGCCCCGTGCACATGCGAGCACCAGATGACAAGGATACCCATGGCGTCAGCCAGGCATCCATAGCAGTAGCGTGCCCTTAAGCCTGCCTGAAGCAGAACAAGCACCAAATGCGCCCCAAAACCCCACAAGAACAACAGAGAAATCCCCCCCCAGTTGGCCTCTCCAAGTCGTGATAATATTCATCCTTCTTCTCATCGGAGCATCGGGCTAAGATGTCGGACAAGCCTCGGAATCAAGAGCAAGTCTTACGGGAGTGGTAGTCCCGGCTCCAAAGACTCCAAACCTAAAACTCCATACCCTTGGGACCCGGAAAACCCTAAAACACCCTAAACCGAGCACCCTAGACTCTAGACCGGGTTTCCTGTTGAGGGTTTAGGGTTTAACCCCTTCCGATCCCGCGCCCCCCATGCCAAGCAACGCGTTTCTGCGATACGGTCGAGCTTGAACTTCTCTTTGAGATGCTGCATCCTGTGCACTAGCCATCCATATCTCCCTGGTGGGAATGAGGGAATTAGGGCCCCATATATATATATATATACATATATATATATATACACTTTGGAAGTCAAGTGTTTGGGTGATCTGGGTCCTTCAGATCATGAACGCCGAGCGTTCTCGCTCCGGCTCTTAAGGCTTGCGACTTTGTCCTGATCTGGTCTTTCTGCTTCCCAATGCTGTTCAAGTTACCAAGGTCCCGACCTCACCTAAACCCTAAACCCTAAACCCTAAAAACACCGTTCATCCCATGATGCCTCTTGTCGCGGTTGATTGCCACGAAGGTGCCATCCTCCATCTCTTTCCTTGCGTGCTCGGCTTGGAGGGTAGATTTTTTGAATGTTTGGGATTTGGGACACGTCGGGATGGTTGACGGATATAAATATAAACAAAGACATACATTACAGTAATGAATGTGTGAAATATACATATATATATGTATATATACATATGTATATGTATATATACATGTACATATACATATGTGTATATATATATGCGCAACATGTGTGTGTGTGTGTCTACAGGCCTTAAAATCTGCTCTGGCACCTTGATCCTTGGGGAGCGCTGTTCTGTTCAGCAATTCCTGCTCTACTCCTGGGGGGGGCTCTCGAGAAGATGGGTACCCTGTTTGGATTCGGAGGGTACGGATTAAGAGTGTTTTGGGGTATAGGGCTTAGGGTTTAGAATATTTTGGGACATATGAAGGGTAGCCCGAATTTTGGGAAAATGGAAACCTGCGTAGAAGCGGTAGAGATGTTGCTGATTTTGGCTTCGATACATTGTCCCAAGTGCAGCTTTGGCAGTGAGGTTGTTGCTCCCAAGTCGCATTTTGACGACGAGCATGCCGCATGGAGAACGGGCCTCTTCCATGATCTCTCGCAGCTTCTTCCTCGGGTATGGCAGTCTAAATCCCCTTTTTTTTGCATCCGGGCTCATTGCTTCATGAGCTCTTGGAGGCTCTGTAGAAAGCACACCGGAAGTTGAGAACACGCAGCTCCCCCTGATACTAACAGCTCTCGATAGGGAGTACAGTACCCCCTATTATAATCCCCATTAAGGGCTGTTAGGAATTATAAGGGGGAACATCCCAACTCTGAACCCTAAACTTAGCCCGAGCCTGAAAACGGCTGTGCAAAAACGCCGCTCGAGGCCACTGTTGAACCCGGCGTGAGTCAGAACCAGCATCACTGATAACAATTGCCAGTCGTGATAGTGCAAAGATTGGCCCCACATCATATCAGAATACAATCACAAAATATCACAAACTAATACAATCACACTCTGATACTGGGGGGCCTTCTCGGTACATGGGATTGGGCCGCACAGAGTTTACGTGCATCGTCCTCCTCCCCGAACTTGCATGCTCTGCAGGTTTCAAGCATACCTTTTTGGGGGTTGCTCCTCCTGAGATGTGTTAGCAGGGAACCAAAACATGACGAGAAACTCAGACCCAAGTTAAATCCGAGGTGCAGATCCTCAACCCAGGTGTCATGTCTGCAAGGGCCGTCAAACATCGGAGGCATGCTTTAGACGAGAGCTCTGCACTCTGCCGCAGCAAACCCTGAACCCCAAACCCTAACCAACAGATACTCAACCGCGCCCCACATGGGGCGCAACGATCGAACTTGTCAGGGGCACGCCTGGTTCTGAGTGTTCCTACATTTGGGTTTCAGGAATCTGGGCTTAGGGGCCTTAGGGTATGAGCTGGGTGCCTGACGTGCGTAGATCCTTACTCACAGAGGGGCCCCCCCCTTGGTCCACGCCTGTCTTTCATCAGCTGGTTCAGCTTTTCGATGTGGCGCGTCTCAATGTAGAACTCGTCGCAAAGTTCCTGGATGTCCTGAGAAAGCGCATCCACAGTGTGTCTCTGAAGGGGGGGGGGGGAGGGGGGGAGTGGGGAGTGGCCCTTGGGTTGTTGCGCACAGAATATACATACTACAACCATATAATGAATATGCAGGAATATGGGAATATGAGAAGACATAATATGATAGTGACATGATAGCCTGGGAATATAAAGAGATAACATAATGATAGAATAATACAACTAGAACCATATAATCCAAAAACCTGAAGAAACATCGTGTCAAGAGTCTGGGTGAATTCGGCCGTGCTCTGACACGTAAACATCAGTCTCCTCGCCTCTCTTGTTCCTCGCAGCGGGCAGGCTTTAACCCCCAGAACCCCGGCTTGGCGGACTCCAGCAATCCTTGAAAAGCCGTGTGGAATGGGCATGCCTTAAACCCTAAACCCTAAACCCTAAACCCTAAACCCACTGGATGTCTCAAGGCTCGGAATGTGACCGAGCCCTGGCCGGAAGGCAACTGAGACCCCTACATTACCCCAATCGTTTGGAGTGCTCTTGAGAGGCAACGGACTTTGGAAGAAGCAGACGAAGATGGCAACTGAACCAAACCCGGTATTTTCACACCCCCCCTTCGGAGATGCCCGGCCATGCCCTGCCTGCCACACCTAGGGCACTGGAACTTCGAAGCGAAGCAGTTCTGACCTGAGCAAACATGTAGGGTTTCAGGGAATCACTGACCAACCGTAGATCCCCTAAACTGAACGCTGAACGCTGAATCGCGAGGCGTAGGCTCCAAGCTGGGCTTAACCCGAACCTGCAAGCAAGCGACCCGCCACCCAAAACACAAACCTTTCCGGGATCCCAATGCCCAAGTTACGTATTTCATGGGGGGCTCCAAACCCAACTCAAGGGGGTGCGTCCTCTCGTGTCGAGCCAACTGGGCTTCTGAGGGCGGTGCGCAAGCAAACGAACCAAAATTCGAGCGGTGGATGGACCAAAATGGGAATCAGGATCCGAACGGAAGCGAAAAGACAGGGGAGGCCTTTTTACATCCAGGCCTCCGCAACCCTTAAGCCTCCTACCAAGAGAGCTCAATACCCCTTAAGAAAGGAATATACCCTAAATCATATAAAGGCTCCCTGTATGGTTTTAATGTATTCCTGAATTAAGGGCCGTTGGGCTCTTTGGGTCCATCGTACTTAACCAAACCCTAAACCCTACCCTAAACCCTAAACCCTAAACCCTAAACCCTAAACCCACATTGTACATCTCCTGAGGACGCCGGCCGCAGGCAGGACAAAGCCAATCGCCCGGCTTCAGCCCAGGAAGCGGCTTCTGCTCTACTGGACCTGCAGGGTCTCCGGGCTTGTTTGCTCAGGGTTCAGTCTAGGGTTTAGGGTTTAGGGTTTAGGGTTTAGGGTTTAGGGTTTAGGGTTTAGGGTTTAGGGTTTAGGGTTTAGGGTTTAGGGTTTAGGGTTTTTTTTGCCACCCGGGGTTTAGGGTTTAGGGTTTAGGGTTCAGGGGTCCCTAGTGGCCTCTTAAGTGGCATCCGGGAAGCTTCACAAAGTTAAGATTTGGGGGGGGGGGGGGGGGGGGGGGGGGGGCTTTTACAGGCCAAGCAAGCCCATTTTGCATCCGAGCTCGGCAGGTAGCACTTGCAGGAACCAATGGCTTTCCCACGTTAGTAAACCCAATCCTAAACCCCGTTGAGTGGCTTTGAGGTCAGAGCTTCGGATTTCTACCGGAATTCTGGAAACCGGTGGTTTAGAGGGCCCCCCCCCCCCCAAATTTAAAAGCGACGGGCGCAAGCCCTAGGCGGTACTCCCAAGACTGGATTGCGCTCTTCAAGCGTAAACCCAAGTTTTACCCTGAACCCCCAAAGCCCTTCGAAAACCCTCAGAAACTCCAAACTCGAAACGCTCTCTTTCTCTCTCTGTCTCTAAATGTACATACACGCAAATGTATGTGTGAATGTATACTCCTAATCAAAATCACCGCCGACATCAGGAGGCTAAACCCTAAACTCAAGCCCTGAACCCTGAACCCCTCACTCTAAACCCTTCTTGAACCCCGACGCCCGTCCTCATCTACCCTAAACCCTAAACCCTAAACCCAAACCCTAAACCCTAAACCCTAAACCCTAAACCCTGAGCCAAGTGGCCGCCCTTTCCGGCATCCCCCGGCGCTCCGGGGGGCGGGGGGGGAGGGCCGCCTGGGGACTTCGACTCTCGGGTTTCCGGGGTTTCCAAGCTTCAGGGTTTTAGGGCTTCAGGGTTTTAGGGTTTTAGGGTTTTAGAGTTTTAGGGTTTTAGGGTTTTAGGGAATTAGGGAATTAGGGTTTCAGGGTTTTAGGGTTTTAGGCTTTCAGGGTTTTGGGGTTGCAGGGTTTGAGGGTTTTAGGGTTTCAGGGTTTTGGGGTTTTAGGGTTTCAGGGTTTTAGGGTTTTAGGGTTTCACGGTCTTGGGGTTTTGGGGCTTTAGGGTCTCAAGGATTTTGCCGACTGGCTACAGCACTCCCAGGGTTTTAGGGTTTAGGGCTTCAGGGTTTCAAGGCTTAGGGATTAGAATTTAGGGTTTAGGGTTTGGGGTTTAGGGCTTCAGGGTTTCAAGGTTTAGGGATTAGGGCTTCAAGGTTCAGGGTTTAGGTTTTGGGCTTGGGTCCAACTAGGGTTTTTGGGGGATGGGGTGTGGAGGGTTTTCCTGGGGAGCCTCCCGTGCGCTCAGCACCACTAAGCCTACAAATTTGTTGTTCCCTTTTTGGGACTTCTCAATAGTAAGGAATAAAGCATTTTGGGCTATATTATTTAGCTCATAATAATAAGGATTAAAGCATTTTTGGGGGGTAGATTGTAGGGGGGCCCCTTCCTTTTTTGGGGGGAGATGCCCCGATGCCTCCCACAAGACCCACGCAGCAGTGCTGCAGCATGCGCGTGCAGTACACGCAGGATCTCACGTAATTGCATGGTGTCGTTTGGGGTTTAGGTTTGGGGTTTAGGGACTGGGGCAGTCCCCAAGGAACTGGTCACTGGTAGTGACTCCAAAAGGTGCTTTGTCTTACTTTGAAAGATGCACCTCATTGAAGTCCATACACAAACCCTCCCAGGGCCCAACCAAAACCGTAATTTCGCTACTATACTCTCCTTAGAACCGTAATAAAAACAGTCTTCTTGGTGCCCTCTTTGGTTTTATATAAACAAAAAACAATTCCCAAGGGGGATATAGAAACCGTAAGTCCGCTACTGAAGCTCCCTGAAACCCATGGTACTTGTGGGGAGCCTTTGCCACCTTGGTTCATGGCATTCATCATCATAGGATTCCTGAGCTGCCGCTTCCGATCAGAGGGTGTCTGCTTGCCCTTGCAACACTAGAAGCCCTGTGAAACAGGGTTTAGGGTTTAGGGTTTAAGAAGAAGAACAGCATATACGTGATGAAGAGGCTCTCTTCAACCGACCGCCTCCCTGTCCTTACACTTGGAGAAAAAAGCCCTGAACGAAACCCTTTGCATTCCACAAGGCTTGTGGGCTCAGGCCCGAAAAGTCGGCCCCTGATCAGAGCCCAGCAGCATTCCCATCATGTTGCCCATCATTCCCATCATGGGGTTCGGTGGTGGCTGCTGGCCCCCCGGCTGCCCAAAAAGGTCCGGATTTGTCATGGCCTGAGTGGCAAGGCAGGGGCTTCCGGAAACCGACTGGGGGGGAGTTTTCTCGCATCTTGGAAACCGATATTCTCAGCATCTGAAGAGATACAAGCCACAACCCCTCGAACGACCCGGGAGCCACAGGAGTTCCTTCCTCTCAGAGCGGATAGTTGCGAAAGAGACACCATCATTCTCTGCAGATTCGCGAAGGCGCTTTGCATCTGCTTCATGTTGCCTTCGCCTTCATCAGCTGAGTTGGGAGTCTAAAGCCTTGGGAGGTTCGGAGGTTGGGTTCCCTAGGATTCAACTTCTCGAGGTGCTTCTTTGTGTGAATCGCGACGAGCCCGTGAGCCTCATTCCTAGCTTCTCAGCGTTTGTGCCCCTGCAAAACCCAAAAGCGTGCCGAGACAATCCCTGTGAAGCCCTAAAAATTGCTGGGCTCAATTCCTACTACTCTCAAGATTCCAGGAATGTCGGGATTCTGTCAGGGCTTCTTCTCCCCCACACGGCGGGAGATTGTGTACTCGACTGCCAAGAAGAGGTCCCTATGATACAGCCATGCTCGCTTCCGATTTCAAGACTTTTTTAAGACTGGAACTGAGGCCAGGGCACCATGGATTCAAGCAACCCTTCTTTTGACTCGGGGAGCTGAAGCCCGATCACAGCACGAGCCGAGTTCCACTCAGGCCAATTCAAGCAACCCTAAACCCGAAACCCTCGACCCTAAGCCAGTTTGGAGAGTGGTCTCCAAAATTTGGAACCGGGGGGGATGGGCGCCCGAGCCCAGTAGGCTAAGCATCCCAACAGCTCAACCTCTAGAAGTACCAGTACCAAAAAAGCATGGGCGGCCTTCGCCGCCCCCTTCCTGGTTGCCTTGCACCGTGGCAGCGGGGCTGAGTAGCTTGATGTTTGATGGTTTGGGGTGCCGGCTTTATGCGGCTGTGACTGTGACAGGAGTAAAGCTGCTAAAGGTCTTTAGTATCACCACTTGAACAGGCGAGCTTGCTTCTTGTCAAGACTGTTGTCGCTGAAAACTAAACCAAAAACGTCGCGGAGCAAGCGCAGCCACAGGGGAGTTCTGGTTGCACCCTCGCGTCTAACAACTACAAGTTTCTGTCAGGATTCTTTGGAGACATTGCGGGCACATTTGCCTCTATTGACATCTCAAGCGCCTGAAAGCTGCTGAACTCGTCCGGAATTGGGTTGACGCTGCAGGTTGCTCCAAATTCAGAACCGAGGACACAAGAAACAAATTCTGTTCATAGGAGGGGTGGGGTACATGCCCAGAGCCCCCCCCCCCCCCCCCCCCCCCCCCAAACGCATGAGCATTAACACCTCGAAGCTTTCTGGCAGCCAGGTTGCTAGTCTTCTGTTTGCGTCCCATGGCCGCTGATCTGCCACACCGCTTGAGGGTCCGGCACGTTCGTCACCCAGGAGCTACGCTGACAGCCGAAAAATGCCCCGAGGCTTCTGCTTTGGGGCGCTTTATCATCAGGCCTTGGGTCGCCTTATATCTCACTTATTCTCACTTTAAAGTACAGAAGTGGTGGCTGGTGGGGTCACTCCTGGTTCCATCCCGCACTCTCAATGTCCATTCCAAAAGATCATTCCTTCACCAACACTTCTGGCAAAGCCTCAAAGCATACCTCATGTCATAAGGCACCTCGAACCATGCCCACGTAGAAGATACCCACTCATTCCGTTCGGGTAGTGGACTCCGCACCGCACCCCTGAGCAGAGTTCTTGACTGGTGCTGAGACGGCTTCAGCTCAGTTCCGGCGCCGACGCTTTTCGTCGGGGAATGGTGAAGACTATGCCACACTCGGAGGTACATGGTACTTACTAAGCAATATTAGGGCACTTAAGGGGCTTATAAGTGTGTGAAAAGTACAGTTATAACTGGTACAGAAGTACCATGAACCTCCAAGCAAGGGTGTGAACGCAACAGTCTCGGCCTTCTAGTGTGACGTGCACAAAGATGGCCAAGAAGACTCTACGAGTTCCGATCAACCCTGCGACTCGAATCCGCCCCCTTATGTGGCAAACGTGGCCAGCAACGGGAGGAGGTGGTGGTGGTGGTTTCTCCGCGCCAGATCTTCGGGAAAGTCCCCAAAGTCGTTAGGATACAACTCGGCCCCATGGTCGAGGAAGAGCCTTAGCTTTGGCATTTTTGGCATGTGAGCCCTGCCTTCGATGGCCTCTGAGGCCATGGAGCTAGGGTGAAAATTTGGGGATCGAGTGCACAAGAATGCAAGACATGAGATTCTGCATACGCTACGAGGACCGAGGCTCTGAGTCAGCTGCGCGTGTCCGACCAGGGCGGCGTAGCCCAAAGGTGAGATCCCCGGCCTCGGGAGTTTGCCACACACGTGCTCTCCGACGTCGGTACATGACGTTTTAGGGTTTCAGGGTTTTTTGGCGTTTAGGGTTGAGGGTTTTAGGCTTCTAGGGTTTTAGGGTTTCGGGATTTAGGGGTGGTTTAGAGAGCTTCCGTCGGCCAAGGGTCATGGAGGCCCGCAAGCGCGTCATCATGTTGCATTTTGCAAACCCCCAGGTAGCAATTCGGAGACGGGCGAGCCTACACTTCCACAAGAACTCACCCGTTGGTGATGAGGGTGTGTTGACCTCCGCCCGGTGCTCGAGCAGAAGCTTGGCAGTCTCAACAGCACGGGGATTGCCACGCGAAAACAGTGCCACAGCATGCAACGGCCCGTACTTCCCCGCTCCGCCATGGCAAGGGTCACAGCGAAAGTTCAAAAGTTCTCGGACTGTGTCTGGGCCCGCAAAGGACGCAGCACCATTCAAGGCATAGTGGGACATCTCTGCCCGGTGTTCCAGGAGGGCTTTCACGTGGTCGGGGGACCTGCACATGTACAACGCCGGCAGACCTGTCCTGGCGCTGGCATTGGGATCCGCTCGCAGCTCAATGAGCGTGGTCAGCACAGCCGGGCCTTGATGAGATTTCGCGGCTGCCATGAGGATCGTCTGAGTATCATAATACCCCAAGTCACCGAGGCCGTGCATGGGTTGATTCATGTCCGCCCTCTTCTCTGCCAGCAAGCGCAACATGCCCGTGTCACCAGACAATACCGAGCACATCACCGCATTCATGCTGCTCCTGTCTTGTGCAGCTTCCTCCAAACTACTGAATTTGAAATCATGCAAGAACTGTTGCACCTCACGGTCCACCCGTGCTTGACGTAGAAGCTTCGGCCGAAATGCAGAATAAAAGCGGTAGTGGTCCAAGGGGCCATGAGCTTGGAGGTGCTGGAGCTTGCTTTCAACAGCAACTTCCCCGAGCTCAACGACGACAGCACGATCGGACTCAACAGTGAAGTCCCCATCCACAATGCTGTTGTGCTGCCAGTCGAGCGGGAACATGAACTCTGCTTCCGACGGGGAATACACCACGATGACCGAGGTTTCCAGCTTGTTTGACAATAGCCGGCACCACAACTCGGCGCGACACCACCTGGACCAATGCTGGGCTAGCTTCACAACGAAGCATGGGCATTTCCCGACATAGGGGTACCCCATATATACCCCGCGAAAGAGAGCACAATCCCCACAACAAGGAAGGACCCTTGTGCAGAAAGCTGACCCAAGAAAGCACCAAGCCACCCTCTGGAAAGCCATGACGCATAATTCACTACGTCAGAGGAGTCCTTGTGCGTCAGCTCTGGCACAAGTGCAACGAAGACATTGGAAAGCTCCACATAGGCTGGAATGCTTCGAACAGCCAAGGCCGCGTCGCTCTTCCTGGGCCAAAGGCAAACGAAGGCCATTGTTGGCTTGAAGGAGGTTTTCAGTTTATCGCACAAGGGGGACCATAAACGACTGAAAAAAGGAAGAAACGTACACCTGTGGACCCAGCTTCGTGGTCTCCTCATTCACCCCATGCTGCCGGACCGTGATCTGGGGGATGGAGAAATAGTCAAAGAAGATGAAGCCATTTGCGATGTGCCGGCGTGTGTTTGCAGACAGGTTCATATCGTCCGTCCTGGACACGGTGTCTTCCGTCACCTGCAAAGTTCCATCAATCACACCCCGGAGCGCCTCTTGAAGCACCTCCACCTGCTCACCACGCGGGTCAGGATGCGCGTAGCTGAGCCACTGGTGGGAGACGAAGATCACAAACATTCCAGGGTACCATTCCTGGGCACAGGCCCAAGAGCCCCATGAGCCCGAGGAGAGAAGTGTTGGCACAAGCCACAAGCCCCAAGATCATGAAAGCCTGCAACGCTGCGCCTACACGGCCTACACGGCCTACACTACATCTGAGATCCGATACCGTTTGAGTTCCCAAGTTACAACCCCTCAGGGGATGCCAGGCAAAGGATCCGTCTTGTCATCCTAAGACCGGGGATTTGGGCGGGAGAACCCATAAGCAGGGACCCAGGTGCATGCAACAGGCCACGCTCTTGCACCACGTTGTGGGGCTCTGGTGGGCCACGCATCTCCAAGAAGTCGGAGACTTTGACCTAAGTTTGGAGAGGACAGACTTTCAACAAAAGCAACCCACCTTGGGCCCGTTTTCCAGGAAATGGCCAACCGCTTGCAATTGCAGCCATGTGTTCAGAGCGCACGAATTCCTATGAAGTTCAACAGGGTTCAGAGTATTGTAAACCTGCTGGGCCAGAATACGGAGAACTCTCCAAATCAAGCTCAGACACCGCCCACAAGGGGAAAAGGTACGGGTGGACAGTCGACTGCCAGCCACAGGTGCATCGCTCGTGTTCCGGCGTGCAGAGCGAAGCGCCCATGGTTCCGGGTTCGAGGCTTCAGGATTTTAGACTCTGCGAAGCTTGCAACTTCGTGAGGGTAACTTTTTCTTGCGTTCGCCCCTGAAGGGTGCGAAGAGCTGGAAGACATCTTACTTCTGCATCTGCTAGTGACTAGTGCCAATATTGTCCACAATCTGAGGCCTGCAATGCATCATCGAGACAAGCACATTCCCGGTCTCGAACGACTGCATGAATGCTCGCTAACTGTTTGGCTATGCCAACCAACACCTGGTCCATCAGAGGTCCGGGCGCAGGGGGGTCTTCTGCAACGTAAAGAAACCTATACCCTCTATTTTTACTCTAAACCCGAAACATCCCCAAACGGCTGGGGATGATGGTTCGGGCATTTCCAGTAGCTAGGTCGTATCCTTGTCTGCAGGTAACCTTCAACTTTCTCAGATGGACCTTCTTGCTAATATGAATTTTCACTTACGCGATCTTCCGCGCTTCGCTTCTACGCCATGCTCTTGTTGCTGCTTCGTCTTGAGCTCCCAGTTTTGAAAATTCTACTGTCAAGCTTTGAAAGGGTTCCAACCTCTTTTTTTGATGCCATGAGAACATCGTGCCCTGATTTTCAGGGCATGAGGCACACGATACTGCAGGCGCTGGCTTGCGCTTCGGCTATGTGGCGAAGGTGGCCAGCAAGGGCATAAGGTGATGATGGTGATTGTTGCGGGCCAGATCTTCTGGCCATTCGCCCCGATCGTTGGGGGACGGCTCGGCCTCATAATCCAGGTACAGCTGCGCGAGCTGCCAATGTCCGGCGAAGGCTGCGCAGCCCAAGGGTGACATGCCGGGCCTGTGTTCGAGTACTTTGGGGCCCATTTCGGGGGGGGGTGTTGAGTCGGTGTGCTCACTATTTTCCACCTAATAACAAAACTCCTGAAGTTCTCTGAAGAAGCATGGAAGCCAACCATCGGGTCCGCATGGTGCAGTTCGCGGTGCCCACAAGAGCCTCTCGGAGACGAGACCAGCGAGCATCTGAGAGAATCTTGCCTGTCGGGCTGCACCGCATGTTAACATCCGCGCGGCACTCCAGCAGGAGCTTTGCAGACTCAACAGCATGGCGATTGCTCCGCCCGAAAACGGCCAGTGCATGCAAAGGGCCATATACAGCAGTGCCCATGCCGCCGGGTTGACACCGGGCGCTTAGAAGCGCCTGGACTGTGTCTGGGCCCGCAAAGGATGCTGCACCATTCAAGGCATAGTGGGACATCTCTGCCCGGTGTTCCAGGAGGGCTTTCACGTGGTCGGGGGACCTGCACATGTACAATGCCGGCAGACCTGTCCTGTTGCGGGCGTTGGGATCCGCTCGCAGCTCAATGAGCGTGGTCAGTACAGCTGGTTCTTGATAAGACTTCGTGGCCGCCATGAGGATCGTCTGAGTATCATAATACCCCAAGTCACCGAGGCCGTGCATGGGCTGATTCATGTCCGCCCTCTTCTCTGCCAGCAAGCGCAACATGCCCGTGTCACCAGACAATACCGAGCACATCACCGCATTCATGCTGCTCCTGTCTTGTGCAGCTTCCTCCAAACTACTGAATTTGAAATCATGCAAGAACTGTTGCACCTCACGGTCCACCCGTGCTTGACGTAGAAGCTTCGGCCGAAATGCAGAATAAAAGCGGTAGTGGTCCAAGGGGCCATGAGCTTGGAGGTGCTGGAGCTTGCTTTCAACAGCAACTTCCCCGAGCTCAACGACGACAGCACGATCGGACTCAACAGTAAAGTCCCCATCCACAATGCTGTTGTGCTGCCAGTCGAGCGGGAACATGAACTCTGCTTCCGACGGGGAATACACCACGATGACCGAGGTTTCCAGCTTGTTTGACAATAGCCGGCACCACAACTCGGCGCGACACCACCTGGACCAATGCTGGGCTAGCTTCACAACGAAGCATGGGCATTTCCCGACATAGGGGTACCCCATATATACCCCGCGAAAGAGAGCACAATCCCCACAACAAGGAAGGACCCTTGTGCAGAAAGCTGACCCAAGAAAGCACCAAGCCACCCTCTGGAAAGCCATGACGCATAATTCACTACGTCAGAGGAGTCCTTGTGCGTCAGCTCTGGCACAAGTGCAACGAAGACATTGGAAAGCTCCACATAGGCTGGAATGCTTCGAACAGCCAAGGCCGCGTCGCTCTTCCTGGGTAAAAGGCAAACGAAGGCCATTGTTGGCTTGAAGGAGGTTTTCAGTTTATCGTACAAGGGGGACCATGAACGACTGAAAAAAGGAAGAAGCGTACACCTCCCTGTGGACCCAGCTTCGTGGTCTCCTCATTCACCCCATGCTGCCGGACCGTGATCTGGGGGATGGAGAAATAGTCAAAGAAGATGAAGCCATTTGCGATGTGCCGGCGTGTGTTTGCAGACAGGTTCATATCGTCCGTCCTGGACACGGTATCTTCCGTCACCTGCAAAGTTCCATCAATCACACCCCGGAGCGCCTCTTGAAGCACCTCCACCTGCTCACCACGCGGGTCAGGATGCGCGTAGCTGAGCCACTGGTGGGAGACGAAAATCACAAACATGCCAGGGTACCATTCCTGGGCACAGGCCCGAGAGACCCATGAGCCCGAGGAGAGAAGTGTTGGCACAAGCCACAAGCCCCAAGATCATGAAAGCCTGCAACGCTGCGCCTACACGGCCTACACGGCCTACACTACATCTGAGATCCGATACCGTTTGAGTTCCCAAGTTACAACCCCTCAGGGGATGCCAGGCAAAGGATCCGTCTTGTCATCCTAAGACCGGGGATTTGGGTGGGAGGCCCATAAGCAGGGACCCAGGTGCATGCAACAGGCCACGCTCTTGCACCACGTTGTGGGGCTCTGGTGGGCCACGCATCTCCAAGAAGTCGGAGACTTTGACCTAAGTTTGGAGAGGACAGACTTTCAACAAAAGCAACCCACCTTGGGCCCGTTTTCCAGGAAATGGCCAACCGCTTGCAATTGCAGCCATGTGTTCAGAGCGCACGAATTCCTATGAAGTTCAACAGGGTTCAGAGTATTGTAAACCTGCTGGGCCAGAATACGGAGAACTCTCCAAATCAAGCTCAGACACCGCCCACAAGGGGAAAAGGTACGGGTGGACAGTCGACTGCCAGCCACAGGTGCATCGCTCGTGTTCCGGCGTGCAGAGTGAAGCGCCCATGGTTCCGGGTTCGAGGCTTCAGGAGTTTGGACTCTGCGAAGCTTGCAACTTCGTGAGGGTGATTTTTTCTTGCGTTCGCCCCTGAAGGGTGCGAAGAGATGGAAGACATCTTACTTCTGCATCTGCTAGTGACTAGTGCCAATATTGTCCACAATCTGAGGCCTGCAATGCATCATCGAGACAAGCACATTCCCGGTCTCGAACGACTGCATGAATGCTTGCTAACTAACTGTTTGGTTATGCAAACCAACACCTGGTCCATCAGAGGTCCGGGCGCAGGCAGGGGGGTCTTCTGCAACGTAAAGAAACCTATACCCTCTATTTTTACTTTAAACCCGAAACATCCCCAAACGGCTGGGGATGATGGTTCGGGCATTTCCAGTAGCTAGGTCGTATCCTTGTCTGCAGGTAACCTTCAACTTTCTCAGATGGACCTTCTTGCTAATATGAATTTTCACTTACGCGATCTTCCGCGCTTCGCTTCTACGCCATGCTCTTGTTGCTGCTTCGTCTTGAGCTCCCAGTTTTGAAAATTCTACTGTCAAGCTTTGAAAGGGTTCCAACCTCTTTTTTTGATGCCATGAGAACATCGTGCCCTGATTTTCAGGGCATGAGGCACACGATACTGCAGGCGCTGGCTTGCGCTTCGGCTATGTGGCGAAGGTGGCCAGCAAGGGCATAAGGTGATGATGGTGATTGTTGCGGGCCAGATCTTCTGGCCATTCGCCCCGATCGTTGGGGGACGGCTCGGCCTCATAATCCAGGTACAGCTGCGCGAGCTGCCAATGTCCGGCGAAGGCTGCGCAGCCCAAGGGTGACATGCCGGGCCTGTGTTCGAGTACTTTGGGGCCCATTTCGGGGGGGGGTGTTGAGTCGGTGTGCTCACTATTTTCCACCTAATAACAAAACTCCTGAAGTTCTCTGAAGAAGCATGGAAGCCAACCATCGGGTCCGCATGGTGCAGTTCGCGGTGCCCACAAGAGCCTCTCGGAGACGAGACCAGCGAGCATCCCAGAGAGTCTTGCCTGTCGGGCTGCACCGCATGTTCACATCCGCGCGGCACTCCAGCAGGAGCTTTGCAGACTCAACAGCTTGGCGATTGCTCCGCCCGAAAACGGCCAGCGCATGCAAAGGGCCATAGACAGCAGTGCCCATCCCGCCGGGATGACACCGGGCGCTGAGAAGCGCCTGGACCGTGTCTGGGCCCGCAAAGGATGCAGCACCCAGCAAGGCGTAGCTTGCAAGGTGCGCGCGACTTTCCAGCAGTACCTTCACGTGGTCGGGAGACCTGCACATGTACAACGCCGGCAGACCTGTCCTGGAGCGTCCATTGACATCTGCACGCAGCTCAATGAGCGTAGTCAGCATGGAAGGGTCTTGCCTCGACTTTATGGCTGCCATGAGCATCGTCTGCGTGTCATAATACCCCAAGTCACTGAGGCCGTGCATGGTTTGATTCATGTCCGCCCTGCTCTCTGCCAGTAAGCGTAACATGCCCGTGTCGCCAGACAATACAGCACACATCACTCCACTCATGCTGCTCGTGTCACATACAGCTTCTTCCAGGCTGCTGAAATGAAAATGATGCAAGAATCCTTTCAGTTCTCGATTTGCCGAGGCTTGGCATAAAAGTTTTGGCCGCAAGGCCGCGTAAAAGCGGTAGTGGCTCAGCGGGCCCAACAGCTGCAAATGATGGATCTTGCTTTCCACGGCCACTTCTCCGAGATGAACGACTGTTTCGCGATCTGCTTCGACCGTGAAGTCTCCCTTCACAATGCTGTTGTGCTGCCAGTCGAGCGGGAACATATACTCCGCCTGCACAGGGGAATACACGACGATGACCGAGGTGTCGATCTTGTTTGACAATAGCCAGCACCACAATTCCGCGCGGCACCACCTGATTAGAACATGCCCCGTGGAGGAGCAGCGAGGACTTAGGATTTAGGGTCTGAAACAAAGGTCATCCGAAAGCTGACCCAGCAGGCCACGCCACCCTCTAGACAGCCATGTCGCATAATGCACCAGCTCTGACGAATCTTTGTGCATCAAATCTGGCACCAGTGCGACGAACAGACTCGAAAGCTCCACGTATGCCGGAATGCTTTGAACAGCCAAGGCCGCGTCGCTCTTGATCGTCTGCTCATTCACCCCTTCCTGCCGCGCCGTGATTTGTGGGATGGCAAACCAATCCAAGAAGAGATACCCATTGGCGATGTGCCGGCGCGTGTTCGCGGACATCGTCATCTCATCGGTTAGGGCTACGACCTCCTCCGTGACATGCAGGGACCCATCAATCAAGCCGGCCAGCGTCTTCCGAAGCACCTCCACCTGCTGACCCTGCGGATCTGGGTGTGTGTAGCTGAGCCATTGGTGCGAAACGAAGATCACGAACCTATACTCCCCTTAGAACCTTAAAAAATCTATTATCTTAATATCCTCTTGGGTTTTATATGAACAAAGATTAAAACAATAATTCCCAAGAAGGATGTAGGAACATGTCCGGAGACCATTCGTGAAGCAGGGCCTGCGCTTGCAGCGCGCCGTGAGGCTCGGGAGGTCCCTTCATCTTCAAGAAGTCGGAGACCTTGACCTTAGGCTTCCCTGCTGTGACATGGACCGCCTTTGAAGTACGTTTAGACCCCGAAACCCTAAACCCTAAACCCTAAACCCTAAACCCTAAACCCTAAACCCTGAACCCTAAACCGCCGGAATTCTGGGCTCCGCGGGCAAAAAGGAAAAAAAAAACTTGGACAGCAAAGCCGCAACCCACATTGGGAAATAGCATCTGTGCACGGTGGAGGAGGAGCCTGTGCTTCGTAACGCCGAGCTCCACTCCGCAAAAAAGCATCAGGGTTTGTAGGCTTTATAGGGTTTGCAGTCTTTATAGTAGGCTTTATGGGGTTTAGGGTCTCAGTAGTCAAGCATCTTGACGCGGCTGCGAGGATGTCGCCGCCCACCGCGCATGCCGAAGACGGACTAGAACCCATGGCGCAGTTTGCACGCTACATACAGCTCCCAACAAGGCATGTCGTTTGTTCGCCACCCACCAGCCAACTCAACCATGCGATCAATCCCTTGCTAAGCAGGCTATGCTGCTAGCTGCCTTCTACAAACAAAGGTGCCTAGAAACATTGGGAGCTGCCACGCACGCCAAGCCAGCCTGACTCAAGAGCCACACAGGTGCAAACACTGACGCGCTACGAACATGATGGAACGCACAGGTTCCGCATGGCGCCATACCGTGTTCCGTGCGTCTGCAGCGGGTGCCAGGCATTCCTTGATTCGGGAATCCCGCCTGTCCGTCGAGAAAAGAAGGCTGAAATTCAGAAATGTTCTGCATGCATATGAGACCCGAGTGTTATGTTGAGAAGGTGCCCAGCAAGGGGATCAGGTGATGATGGTGGTTGTACCGGGCCAGATCTTCGGGCCAATCCCCACGTTCGTTGGGCGAAGCATCGGCTCCATGGTCCAGGTAGAGTTGAACGAGCCCCACATGCCCCATCAGGGCCGCATAGCCCAGGGGTGTGACTCCAAGCACCGACGCGCGTTCGCGGGTCATGGTGTTGCAGTTTTCCCAGCCGAAGAGCGCTGTGGTGAGACGAGCCCACCGGCACTCCCACAGGAACCAGCCTGTCATCATAGAGCGTTGGTTCACGTCTGCACGGTGATCCAACAAGAGTTTGGCGGTGTCAACCGCATGGCGGTTGCTTCGAGAAAGCAGGGCCACAGCATGAAGAGGACCGAACCATGTGTCGTCGACGTGGTTCGGGTCGCATCGGAGGTCTAAGAATGCCTGGACCGTCTCGGGGCCAGCAAAAGCTGCCGGGCCATTCAGCAAGTAGCTCGACATCTCTGCCCGGTATTCCATCAACACCTTCACGTGCTCGCTCGACCGGCACATGTACAGAGCGGGTAAACCGGTCCTGGCAGCTCTATTTGCGTCGGCGCGCAATGTCAGCAGCGTCCGCAGAACCGAGGAGTCTTGTCGTGACTTTACGGCTGCCATCAGCACCGTTTGGGTGTCATAGTATCCCAAATCCTGGGTAGCCCAGTAGCCATATTACAATAAGGGCACCCTTTTTGGGGTTGGTTACCTTAAAAGGGAACCTTGAACCCAAAAAAGGGAAAAGGGTGCCACTTACCGAGAATCCCCGAGGCCGTGCATGGGATGATTCATGTCCGCCTTTTCCTCCGCCAGCAGACTAAGGATTCCGGTGTCGCCAGACAATACAGCGCACCTTACTTGGGTTTAGGGTTTTTAGGGTTTTTAGGGTTTAGGGTTTAGGGTTTAGGGCTGTCCAGTATCCTTGGGGAACTAAAGGTTAACCTTTGGGAGTATAAGGGGAATATAACACCCCGAAAAGGTTAAAGGTCACCTGCTCTACTACTGAGGCACATTGTCGCATTCATACTGTTGGTGTCCTCCACAGCGCCAGGCAATGAACTGAAAAGAAAGTAGTTCAGAAACTCCCCGAGGTCCCTGTTGGGCCCCATTTGGCACAGGAGTTTGGGGCGCAAAGCGGAATAGAAACGATAATGGCTCAGAGGGCCATGAGCCCGCAAATTGCGAATTTTGCAGTCTAAAGCTGTTTCGCCCAGCTGAACCACCGTAGCACGATCGGCTTCAACAGTGAAGTCTCCGTTCACAATACTGTTGTGCTGCCAATCTAGTGGGAACATGAACTCAGCCGAAGCGGTCGAGTGCACAATGACGACCGAAGTATCAGCTTTGTTCGACAGTAGCCGGCACCACAACTCGGCACGGCACCACCTTTGGTTCCGTCTTCATCTGGGGTTTCAACTAGTTCATCAGGGTATGAGCGTACGAAAAAGAGACGGCTCATGACTTAGGACAGCGAACTCTTCGGAAGAGGAAAAAGAAAAGCGAAATCCGATGAAGGCCAAGCCACCCTCTAGACAGCCACGTCGCATAATTTACCAGCTGTGACGAATCTTTGTGCGTCAACTCTGGCACCAGTGCGACGAACAGATTCGAGAGCTCCACGTATGCCGGAATGCTTTGAACAGCCAAGGCCGCGTCGCTCTTGATCGTCTGCTCATTCACCCCTTCCTGCCGCGCCGTGATTTGTGGGATCGCAAACCAATCCAAGAACAGATACCCATTGGCGACGTGCCGGCGTGTGTTCGCGGACAAATCCATGTTGGCCGACATGGCCACCATGTCCTCTGTCACGTGCAAGGATCCATCGATCATAGCGCGGACTGCCTTTTGAAGAACTGCCAGTTGTTCACCCTGGGGGTCTGGATGAGCGGCGCTTAGCCACTGGTGGGAGATGAAAATCACAAACATACCGGCAAACCATTCATGTAGCAAGCCTTTCTCTTGCAATGCGCTGTGTGGTTCCGGTGGACCACTCATGTCCAGAAAGTCCGACACCCTAACCTGGGCTGACATTAATTGGGCACATACAAAGATCCTGAAACCCTACAGAGTCTGGACGTTTGATCCAAAACCCTAGAACAGGAAGAAACACAAAGTCTCCAAACGAGAATAAAACCCCAATGCTCCAAACAAGGACTCAAGCGGCCGCCCAAAGAGGGAAGTAGCATCGGTGCACCGTCGACTGCATCGCGCAAATGGATTCATCACCCGCTTGCGCGCACAAAGAGGAGCCCATGGCTGCTGTTGGTTTTAATTGAGGGCGCCGAAATAGCTGCCGGTACATAAGCTTAGAATGCCAGCCCGTTGATCATCTTAAAATGCCCCAAACTAACATTACATAGGCCCCTGCATCAGGGCCCTCTCCCGCCCACCACGGCGTGCTTTGAACAAGAACGGTTGCGTTTGCGGGCGCATCGAAAACCGTCACGGGACATTGCAAGACAGAGCTGACTGCAGCACAACGCCTGCTCCAGGGAGCCCGAAACCCTAAACCCCAAACCCCAAGCCCTAAACCCCAAACCCTAAAACCTTAGGGTTTAGGATTTATGTTGTTTTGTTCCCTAGGGTTTTAGGGTTTAGGGCCCCTTTCACGGGCAGGTCTCGGAGACGACTTGGTTTTTTCAAGGGGGCACCTTTTTTTGTCTCAGAGGTGTCAGGAAGGAGCCGAGCCCGTCATTGACAAGGAGAGATACGGCGCCGACTCTGCGTCCTTTTTCTTGAGGGTTCAGGGGTGCTTAAAAGTAGGGCGGTAAGAAGGCTAACTATGGTTCTAAAACTTACTTAGGGTATTTATAAGCTTAAAAGAAGGATAGCTATGGTTATAAACTTTACTTAGGGCATTTATAAACTTACCTTATATGTAGGGTTAAAGGAAGGGTAACTCTGGTTATAATCCTTACTTAGGGTATTGATACACTTACCTTATCAGTAGGGTCAAAAGACGGGCAACTCTGGCTACGGCATGACTTAGGGCGCTTGTAAGCTTACTTCTAAGTACCCGCCATGAACCTCCAAGTAGAGTTCACCTCACCATGGCCTGAGTGCTCAAAGGGTCGGCATGGGCTCAGTTGCGGGAGGGGGGGGGAGGGGGGGGGGGGGGGGGGGGGGGGGGTCTTGCAGTCTTTGCGACCTGTTGGCCATGGGTCTCTGGTCGAACGCAGATTGCATTGCGAAAATTCCACATGTTTCGTCGTGTCTTAGCTCGTCATGCAGGTTCCAAAAGCCTGGAACTCATGCACTGTCCCCACCTGCTTGTCGACAGCACTCTGCAAAATGTTTGTTTGCCACGCCAAAAACACGCGAGGTCCATGTTAAACACTGTCGGTTCAACAGTGAACTTAACTTTTTCAAGTTGGTTGGTCGAACGTCGGGTGTCAAAGGAAGGCCTAGCAGGTGTTGACACCTTGGTATCACAGGCCGTCCACCCCCAAGCACAGACATCCAGGTGCCTTGTCTCCATGTCCCGTTGAGGATTATCCTGTTGACTCATGTTAACTCGTTCACAACAAAAGTTGCGATGGAGCCATCCTCAGCCTTGTGCTGGCAGTCCGCCAGACACTGCAGCGAAGCATTGGCTTCGAGCCCTTGAGGCTAGAGAGCTGCACTTCCCCAATCGGGGCACCCATGGGACATCGCCCATGGCGCGTGGTGTGCAAGTGTGGGGGAGGGGTGAAAGGGCACAGATTCCTCACCGTCCCGGGCGTGAAACACCAGCCACCCACTATCGTCTGCGCTCGAGGATGCGATCGAAAGACTTGTTCACGACCTCCTGCACACTGGCAAGCTGGCACAGCGGCAAGGGATTGCAGAAAAATGCTACAAGCACCTCCAGTTAAACTAACCCAAACAGCGCAGCCGCCCTATTACTAAAAATGGGTGGGATCGTTCGGAACCGTTCGGTGTTGTCCTTACAGTGGATTGGAAGATGTGGCCAGAAGTAAGCAGAGCTGCTCATAGCCAAAATGAGCCTTTTTGCAACTGGGCTTGCGACTGGGCTCTTTGCTGGTAGGATGAACCTAAACCCCAAACCCTAAACCCTAAACTCGTCTACCCCTCGGTCGGCCAAAGGGAGACATAGTCTCTTGCTAAAGCACTTCTGAGGCTGAATCATGAGTTTTCGTTCATGAAATTTAGGTGCTTGTATAGGTTTCTCCGTGATTGAAAGATCACTTCGGATCCCAAGCTCTGGTTTGAAGGAGTTGGAATTGCCCTTGAAGAGAGCCCCTGGTGTGTTTGAAGCCATGGTTCTTACACCTGCTGCCTTCAACAAGGGCCAAGAGCTCGAAGGTTAAGCAGCTAAGCATATGATTGATGGCGCTCGAAGGTCAACGGTACTGCATGATCATAGCCACGGAACACGCTGCAAGTCCCACGTGCGTCGACCCACCTCCATTCACTTCAACCACGAACGCCAGCGACAAGCTCTCAATGTCAATAGTACAACAGACGCAAATTAGGTCCCATAAAGTAGAATAGGGCAAGAGCAAATCCCAAAGCAACCTTGCGGGTTTAGGTATGTTTTAATGGCTCACGTCGGATACCCGACACCCACCAAATTCTCTTTCAATTGAAGAGTGACGGTAGCGGTGAGCCCTCAGCCGAACCGCGTGGCGCTCGTCTCAATCCACAAGCTCATCCCTAAACCCTAAACCCTAGAGCCCTCTTGACCCTAAGGTCTTTAGCCCTCGGCTGCGGGACCATTCGTGCCCGCACATGACGCCAGCTGTTGTTTGCTCTAAAGTGTAGGGCTTCAAACGCTAAGACGATCACACTACATGCGCTATCAACTTCTGCATAGACCCCGCAAGTTTTAAGCCTCCAGGACACGTTGCTGGTAGGTAGGCTGAGGGTTTAGGGTGGAGGGTGCAAGGGCTTCCCCCTAAATGAGGGTTAAGGGTTCCGTAGGGTTTCGAGGGCTGCGGGGTCCGCACATGTCGGACGCCAGCTCAGCAGGGTTTAGGGTTTAGGGTTTGGGGTTTAGGGTAGAGAGTATAGCATTTGGAGTTTATGGTTAGGGTGTAGGGTGTGAGGTTAAGAGGCACCCTTACATGGAAGGCATTCGGATTCGTTTCGACCTCAGAGCTCGCTGCTGGTCTTTCGAGCAGACGTGTGCACAACAATGCATAGGTCCGCACCCTCAAACCACACTAGCCCAGTCGACAAAACCAAAGATGCCAAACTCTGGTTGAACTCTAGATCCAAGCACAAGGACTGTAAGCTGACAGGCAAGGCCACATTCTCCAAGCACTGGTTGAAACCCTCTCCGAAGCTCAAGGACTGCAAGTTGCCAGGCAAGATCACATTCTCCAAGCTCTGGTTGAAATGGTCTCCGAAGCTCAAGGACTGCAAGCTGCCGGGCAAGGCCACGTTCCCCATGCTCTGGTTGAAACGGTCTCCGAAGCTCAAGGACTGCAAGCTGCCGGGCAAGGCCACATTCCCCATGCTCTGGTTGAAACTGTCTCCGAAGCTCAAGAACTGCAAGCTGCCAGGCAAGGCCACATTCTCCAAACTCTGGTCAAAAGAAAAGCCGAAGCTCAAGGACAGCAAGCTGCCTGGCAAGGCCACATTCTCCAAGCTCTGGTTGAAACGGTCTCCGAAGCTCAAGGACTGCAAGCTGCCGGGCAAGGCCACATTCCCCATGCTCTGGTTGAAAGAGTTTCCGAAGCTCAAGGACTGTAAGCTGCCAGGCAAGGCCACATTCTCCAAGCTCTGATTGAACTCCTCTCCGAAGCTCAGGGACTGGAGGCTGCCAGGCAAGGCCACATTCTGCAAACATTGGTTGAAGTATTTGCCGAAACTCAAGGACTGCAAGCTGCCAGGCAAGCCCAATTTCTCCAAGTTCTGGTCGCCCTCGAAACACAAGGACTGCAAGTTGCCAGGCAAGGTCACATTCTCCAAGCTCCGGTTGAAACAGTTCCCGAATCTCAAGGACTGCAGGCTTCCAAGCCCTGGTTGAAATTGTGGCCGAAGCTCAAGGACTGCAAGTTGCCAGGCAAGGCCACATTCTTCAAGCTCTGGTCGAAAGAGTTTCCGAAGCTCAAGGACTTCAGGCTGCCAGGAAAGGTCACATTCTCCAAGCACTGGTTGAAGTTGTGGCCGAAGCTCAAGGACAGCAAGCTGCCTGGCAAGGCCACATTCTCCAAGCTTTGGTTGAACCTTTCTCCGAAGCTCAAGGACTGCAAGCTGCCGGGCAAGCCCACATTCTCCAAGCTCCGGTTGAAAAAATATCCGAAGGTCAAGGACTGCAAGTTGTCAGGCAAGGTCACATTCTCCAAGCTCTGGTTGAACATGTAGTCGAAGCTCAAGGACTGCAAGCTGCCAGGCAAGGCCACATTCTCCAAACTCTGGTCAAAAGAAAATCCGAATCTCAAGGACTGCAAGCTGCCAGGCAAGGCCACGTTCTCCAAGCTCTGGTTGAAACATTGGCCGAATCTCAAGGACTGCAAGCTGCCGGGCAAGGCCACATTCTCCAAGCGCTGGTTGAAACCCTCTCCGAAGCTCAAGGACCGCAAGCTGCCAGGCAAGGCCACATTCTCCAAGCTATGGTCGAAACAGGCTCCAAAACTCAAGGACTGCAGGCTGCCAGGCAAGGCCACATTCTCCAAACTATGGTTGAGACAGGCTCCAAAGCTCAAGGACTGCAAGCTGCCAGGCAATACCACATTCTCCAAGCTCCGGTTGAAATCACTTCCGAAGCTCAAGGACTGCAAGCAGTCAGGCAAGGCCACATTCTCCAAACTCTGGTTGAAATTGCCTTCGAAGCTCAAGGACTGCAAGTTCTTTGGCAGTTCAACCTGCTCAAGACTGTGCTCACCGTAAAACTCCAACGAAGAGATTGCGTCCTTGGCATGTGCGTCCATTACGCTCAGGCGTTGGCCTTCAATGGCTCGCAGAAACGCAGCTGCTGCGTGCCCTGCTCCAACCTAGGTTGGCTTTTCAACCCTCCGACAAAAATTCCAAAATAGGATCCTCGCCCCGACAATGAGGGAACACATATAAACATGACAAGGGCAACCTGTTGAACCACATATGTGATGACATCACCTTGAACTTGTTCAAACAGCGGCTTGGAATCATCCAGGTAATTGCCTCCAGCCGTCAGGACAAGCATGCCGCCCAATCGCAAGCCGATCCTTCCTGCGACGCTCTTGCGCAAGTCTTCAACGGTCATGTTGTCTTCAAGAGGAAGATGCACTTCTGAACCATCCAGACCACAGACCGTCAACTCTCGGGAAGCAGTAAGGCCATCAACCTCGTCAAGGCACTTGGCTGGTGCGAGGTCGGCCATATTTCGGCCTTGCGCCTTGGCTTGGGTGCCCTTGGTGGACGAAACAGAGGACCTTCAATCCTCAGGCGAGGTCGGCCATGGGGGCTTGCGCTGGCTTGGGTGGCCTTGTGGACGAAATGAGGCTATGCCTTCCTAGGGATTTTTGTAGCAGCGGGCATAGGGAATCTGATCCCAACGTTAAGCCTCTCATGTCCCTCAGAGTTGGTTTATGAACGTCCGATGTCCGAAGGTCATGTAAGCAGCTGGGCCGGCTTGCAGTATCCAAGCTCTGGTGAAAGTCATCTGCCACCCCCAAGCCCTATACACATCCTATACGCCCCGGGTTTAGGGTTGAGGGTTTAGGCCTGCCAAGCAAAGGCGCATTAGCGACTTTCTTCAACATGGCTTTTGTGATAAAATATCAGCTTAGAGTGCGTACCCATAACCAGTACTACACAACACCTTCATTGCCCGAGTCGGCCTGTGGCCATCTCGCTGGCGATGCGGTCCGCCACGCCGATCGCGCTGATCCGACGTGGCTGGGTCATGATGATGCTGACCTCGATTCGCTGTTTCTGCAATCCCTAAACCCTGCACCCTGGACCCTAAACCCCAAACTTGAACCTACCTTGGGCACTCCACGAACTCTCGTAGGGTCAGAAGTCGAGGTTTCTGGTACTCCCCGAAGGTAGGGTGAACCCAGAGCCCAGTCCATGTGGCCGCTCATACCCTAAACCCTGAACCTTAACCCCAAACCTTAACCCCAAACCCTAAACCCGAAGCTCAAAAGCCGTTCAACTGCCTTGCAACTTGGGGGCTTCCCAATAAATGCGCCAGCATTCACGGACCTAAACCCTATACCCTAAACCCATGTGAGAAAAGCCCTCCAGCGGGGAAGCTCTCAGTCACGCAGGCAGCATAGGCTGCGCGGGGGACCCGGCAGGTCTCAGGAGGGTCCAGACCCCGAGAACTAGACAACCAAGGGTTGACGGTCAGGGTTTGGGGACGGGGTACCTCTAGTTTGGATTGAAGCCCTGTAGCCCTGGAGCCCGAACCCTAGCCACACAAATTTAGGGTTTGGGGTTTAGGGCATAGGCTTCGGTGTGGGGGGCGTTTGTTCACTTCGTCTTGCTCTTGGCAGCCAAGAGCCCCTACAAAAGCTCATTCATGCCACTTTTCCAGGAGCTAACTGCCAAAGGATGGCAGATGAACATATTGCCAGACAACCCACCCTTCCCCCCCCATGCGTGGCGGACCCCACCGACCCCCCCCCCCCCCCCCCCCCCCCCCCCCCCCCCATCGCTTGGAGGAGCCGCACACCGATGCGGTGGGCCCGAAACCCTAACAATTCTCCAGGGTTTGGCCCTCCAATGATTGAAATATATTGGAGTGCTACGAAGTGCTTCTGCATGCCTGATCTGGACGGCAGCATGCCAAGCAAGACCAGAGAGACCCGAAAGATCCCGCAAGACGAAAGGTATAGGAGGCTCCAACTTTCGAGCGTGACCCCGATAGGACCTTTTATGAACATGAAAAAGCCTAAACCCTAAACCCTCTTGAAGCCCCAACGAGCCCCCCCAATGACCCTCAGGCCTCAGCTGCGCTGCGAAGCGAGGCGGGGGTGCGGGCGGTATCGCAACAGTAGACACTACTAGAAAGTGCCCGAACCGACCAGGGGCCGTCGAGAACCTCTCAGGGTTCTCAAAGGAGCACTTTGAATTTGGACATAAACGCGGGATCCGAAGCGAGCAAAGGTGAGCAGACAGACGATGCCTCCTTAAACCCAGATAGTCAAACCTGGTTCGGGCCTGAAGGGGCACGCAGCCGCGGAGATTGTGAAGCTCTCGACGGCCCTCGCCAGTGGTTTCAGCAAGCTCTGGGTTGCTTCTATAGCTCGACACTCCAAGCTGACACTGGGGAGCAAAGCGAGACAAGGAACCGAATCACAGAGCTGCGCGGTGCTCTTTGACTCCTGTCCGGTGACACCGCTGGCCGATTCGCCAGTGTTGCGATGTGCTGCGAAAAGGGTCTCTTCCCCGGATTCAGAGTCAGCGATCATCTGTCGCTGGGCTCGTGGAGCGAGCACCTGTACAAGTTTCTCGATCTTGTCCAGCCTTCCCTCCACCAGCTTCTCGATCTTGTCCACGCTCTCTTGCATCTTGCCCTCGAACAGCTTCTCGATCTTGTCCTGCATCGTCTGCATCCGCTCTTTCAGGTCGCTGCGCATGCCGCGGAGATCGTCGGCATTCGCGTCCTTGCGGACGACACCAAAGATGTGGCACGAGAATGCCTGAAAAGATCGTAGGTGTGGGCCAGTGCGAGAAAGCCCTGCCTGGAAGCGGCCCAGCAAGGCCTCGCTCATGGCGCGCTGCAGACCCTGAAGGCGGACCCCGAGCAGCCGCAAGGCTAGGGCTACCGCACCAAATGGACATGCCACCGAGAGCGACAGGCAAAGCAAGACAGGGAGAAGAAGCAGGGTAATCGCAGTGGCGATGCCTCCGCATCTCGACGTCGACTTCAACTCTACTCTCTCCAGCACTGCTTCTCCAAACCAGTCGAAAACTGGCTGCCCGAAGACAAACTTGAGCGGATACAGTGAGCAAGCCAGCAGAAAAGTGCGGCAGCTTGTGTAGTAGTCGAAACTCTTACTCTCGTCACGGACCTCGGCTAAACTCGCGCCTGAAGCTGTCAGCGTTGCCCAAGGCCGGCGGGTGTGCTCCAGGAGCATGCGGGCCCGGGCACGTATGAAGAGGATCTGTGCACGCTCCTGGTGGATTTCGTAATGCTGACTCAGGATACCGATGAGCAGGTTCATAAGCAAGATCGTCATTCCAACGCCCACGGTGAAGAATGAGAGCTGAAGGTACACGTAGTGCTGCTGGCCTAAGTCCTTCGGACTTGGGTCCTGCGGCTCCCATTCGTTGGTGTAGTCGTTGAGCTGGTAGGTGGCATCTTGTCCCTGATACTCAAACACGTCAAAGTCCCCAAAGAGCCCCAGCCGGGCGGTGTGTAAGAATGCCGAGTATATAGGATAGGGATCTTCTCCCCTGGGGTTCAGTATGAAGTAGGCATGGCTGGCGGCTGCAAGGCAAAGCGCTGTCACGAAGAAAAAAGCCCCTGTGTCTCGCACTGCGGACAGGATCGGGAGCATATAGCGACCGATCCAGCGCTCTCCGCGGAGGGAGTACAAACCTCGCAACCAAGCCATGGCAGCGCACCAGGGAAGGAACAGCTGGTCGAGCTCTGCCTCTCGTTGCATCTGGCTCACCACGGCGGCCAAGGCGACAACGAGAAAGCTGGCATCGGCCAGCATCTCAAGGTCAAGTCCCGAAGAGCCAGAGCAAAAAGCCGCTCGCCGAGCCACCTGCCACAGCCATTCCACAGCCTCCTTCGTAAAGGAGATGAGCAATAGCCACAGCGGCAGCTGAACGCGCGGCTCCCCGAAACGAACCACGTAGGTGACCCAGAGGAGGCAGGCCAGGCACGCAACGTTCTGCACGATGTCCAGCATTGTGGAAAGCCGCATCTGTTGCCACGCTGCCTGGATGATGAGCTCAACTGTGTCTGTCGCCAGCGTCTCGTTGTTTGCTGTCTCGGCTATGGCTTGCAGGACCCGCGGATGGCGCGCCAACGTTGCAGCAAACTGGTCCAGGACCTGCAGGGACGTATCGACCATCGGGGCATCGAAGAGGTTTCCTTGATGCACCGTCAGGTCTTCATTCATGAAAAAATCTGGGCCCATGTCCCCTCTGTACAACTCTGCAGGCAACAGCACGGTGCGTATGTGTTCCCGCACTCTGTGCTGCCGCGATCTACATGGCACCGTCTGAAGCATGGCCTCCACCACCTCGGTGTAGAGGGAGCCCTCGCCAAGCAATAGGGGTACAAGAGACTCTGCATCCAGCGCGGCCCCCTTCTCCGCGAGGAACCCAGCCACCTTCACGCAGCCGTTCTGAACTGCGAACTTCATGGCCGTGCGGCCGTCCTTATCTTTGGCGTTCACGTCGGCCCCGTGCTCCACGAGGAGCCGGGCGCAAATCTCCTCACCACCTTGCGCTGCCAGTATCAGGGCCGTGCGGCCGTCCTCATCTTTGGCGTGCACGTCGGCCCCGCGCTCCACGAGGAGCCTGGCCAAATCTGCCTGGCCAAGTCGTCCTGCCAATGCCAGTATCAGGGCCTGGCAGCCGAGCATATTTTTGGCGTTCATGTCGGCCCGGTGCTCCACGAGGAGCCTGGCCACCTCTACGTGGCCACGATGTGCCGGAACATACTTCAGTAAGGGGCCGTCACGTTGACGACGTGCTGCCATGGTCAGGGCCGTGTTGCCTTTCTCGTCTTTGGCGTTCACGTCGGCCCGGTGCTCCACGAGGAGCCTGGCCCACATCTCCTCGCCATCCAGTGCCGCCTCATGCAGGACCGTGTGGCCGAACTGATCTTTGGCGTTCACGTCGGCCGCGTGCTCGATGAGGACGCGGGCCACCTCCAAGCTCTTTGTCTGCTGAAGGGCCGTGTGCCCGAACTCATTGCCATCCCGCCCCTGAACGTCGGCCCCCCGCAGCAGGAGCTCCCGAACTTGCTGGGCGTCTCCCTTCGCCGCTGCCTCGCTCAGGGCCACAGCCAGGTCCTCGGGCCGGGGCGGGGCCTCAGGCGGGGCCTCGGGCTCTTCGGCCACCGGCGGCAGCGGGCCAGCGTCTTCAGCGCCTTCGGCGCTGGGGGGTGCGCCTTCCACCTGGTGGGGTAGTATCGCGGCAAATGCCATGGCAGGCGTGCAACTCTCAGAGCCCAAGGCCGGTTTCGGGATGGCATCCCTGAAGCCCTTTTTGTTTTGCAGATCCACTAGCCGGGCAAGGTGGAAAAACAATGTCAACTGGACCATGCTAGAGCCCTAAACCCCAAAACCCTGAACCCTTCCCTTTCCAGGCTCCTCAAGCGGAAGGTTTGAGGTTTTTTTGGACTCCTGTCCCCCTGACTCCTCAAGCAAGCATTGGCAAACCTAAGCTCTACTGGCTTCTGGGCTTTGCTTTCACAAAAAAACCAATCGTGCACATACCCTAAACCCTAAACCATTGTGGATTGTATTTTGCTCAATCGATGCTGGCATTTTGGACTCTCTTTTTCTTTGGCATAAACCTTTGGGACCAAATGAAGCCTCAAAGGGTTTATGGTTCATGTGCCTTAATGGTAGTACAAGATATATGACCCCCAATTTGGGGGATCATGCTGTCCCCGCGGAAAGAGACCGGGGGGGGGGGGGGGGGGGGGGGTGGTGTGGACGACTTTACCACGCAACGTGCAGCCATCTCACATGTCACGGCTCTACTCTACCAGACTCCTAGACGAAGAGTTCACTGCAGTATCTAGCGCAATAGCAAGCAAAATGTCACTATACACTTTGGGCAGCTCGGCCTTCTCAACTTCGGGCTTGTAGGCTTATTTCGCAGGGCTCAGGGCTTCTGTTGTTTAAGGTTCAGGCTTTGGCTGAAGTCTGGGCTAGCGAGTCAGCCTCCACCTTCCAACGACGTGGGTATAGATTCTCTGCTGGAACGACGGCAAGCTATTGAATTGAAAATTCTGCATCTCAAGGGCCATAAAGCCAAGATCAACACGCACGGGACAACATGGACAGGTCACCGAAGTTGAAAGCAAGCGAATCATAGCTAGAAGAGGCAGAACGTATGAAATCACGGAAGCCGCTGAAAGAATACGGAAAACCCCACTGAAACCTGAAAGGCCTATAGCGCCCAAAACCATGAAGAAATGACTGTAGTGACTCTATAGCCTCACCGCAGACACTTCAAGAAACAATTTACGGAGCTTGAGGCTTCAATTCAAGATTCCACGTCACCGAGCTCTGCGCACAACAATCAGCAAAAAAAGTCGGAAGACGAGCAGAAGACAAGCAGAAGACCACACAAACTGTGGTGAGCCTCGTCAGAGGGCGTCGAGAAGTGTTGGTAGTGCCAGGAACTGGATCTGCAGATGCTGCGGCCCTGGAAATGGTGCGACCTAGACACTTGGGATACGCCGTTTGCAATTAAGACACACTAAAACTACTGTGTTTCGCTAGGTCTTTTTGCCGTGAATATAATATTCCATTTACACGCGCGTTTTGCTTGCAAGTTCAAGGAAAAGCCTGAATCCAGACCGCTATCATCCTATTCACTCTCCTCCGTTTTCGTCTCCTGGCTCATGTTTCCAGGTGTTGCACGGAAGTTACACAGGAAAATGCTGGAGCACCTGAGGTTGGCCTTCCTCCCTTGAGTTGTTTTTTGCGCAGAATGCTGTTGAAACCGTGAACCCTCGACTGCACCGACCCAGCACACCACAACACTAACTACCTCAAATGCCAAAAACCCTAAACCCTATACCTCGTGCCGAAAGCTCAAACCCTACATATTCAATCTTCGAACTTAACCCTAGACCTTAAGCCTTGAAACCCCGTGAGCCAAAATCCTGTCAGCTCTAGCAGTCCTCGAGCAACGCGGTGCCCGCGCAGGCGATACCCAATGCCACGGCCGCCGCGTAGCGCACGTGAGGGTTGTAGCCGTAGCCTTGAAGGGAGCAGGCAGCTGCTGTTAAAACTGCGGTTCAGAAGGGTAGGGTTTAGGGCTTGGGGTTTGGGGTTTAGGGTTGTTGCAACATCAGAATGAGTCTTCGTCAGTTCGTTTGAGGGGGATCAGTTTTGCGATTCAGACTCTTCGGGTTTCGGGCTTAGGTGTGACTAGTTCTGTTCCTGAGGGTTCCTCTTTACTACTATGGTAAAACATACCCCAAACTCCTACTTTGATTTTTAAGACCAAGAGCAGCCATCAGGATTGTGCCATACTTCGTGGCTTCTCAGGGGCAAGGACCAAGCAAACGACATCTCTACATCGGCCCTCTCCAGCATACGGGCGTGAATTAATCATTTAAATGGGGGTTTGGGGGCTTATATTAGGGTATAACTGTCATAAGCAACCCTAAGGAACAATACCTAATAGTAGCTACGAGTAGTTACTCAGGCTTCGGCAGGTGGATAAGTCTGGGCTGTGTCAGGCTCCAGATTTCGTAGAGGATCTCGGCAGGAGTATACACTCTACACATACAAGCTGCATGTTCAAGCCATCATGTTTCGCTACCGTCTATGCATGTCCTCGCACCCGTTCCTGTAGTGAAGTGAACGAGAAGCCCGTCAGACACTGTACACTTCCACATTACGGAGCGGTCTCCGAAAGTACATGATGCACAGAGGGGCTTGGTGGGAGCCTGTGCTGTTATGGCTGCTGTTCTGGCTCACCTCCATAGCCTACAAAAATGCGGAACCATCCCTGCGCACGCCAAGGATCTCGCTCTAGCGGCTCACTCACCACTCGTTGCCGGAGGAGTCAATGTAGCCATCAGGAGCTATGTCCCGAAAGGTCAGTGGTGGAGAGTAGTCAGAGTAGTAGTGCTGTGGAGAGTCGCAGTAGACGCGGTCACTCCCGTAGCCGAGATCGAGGACATCATCGTTCAGGGGGCAAGACCTTGCCAAGTGCCCTGTGCTGCCACAATTGAAGCATCGCGGCTGCGCCACAGCTTCCCTGCCCAGGTACTGTGCATGGGGGCCCAATGAAAAGTCGCGCACACTCATGTGCGAGCCCTTGGCCGGAACCTGTGCAGTCACAGCACCTCGCAGCCGTTCACGGGTCACCCTCAGGACAGCTTGCGATGTGGAGCCTGCCCACAAGGCCTTGACTCGCAGGAGGTACTTGACATCGCATGCTGCGTAGTCCACCAAGGCTCGCGGCAGCGGGCGCTCCATCCAGATGCTGGATCGGCCTCCAAGCTCGGGCACAAACAGGCGCTTCCCAACCTCTTTGATGCGCTCGATTCGGGCCCTCTCAAAGTGTGGCACAACGCCAGAGTCATCAAGGCACCTTTGCAGACCCTTCACGTACCTGTCATTCGTGGTGCTGTAGCGCAAGGCATGCTGAACCTGCAGGTCAAAGGCGTGGCGTAGCTGCACGCCAAACTGATGACAGAGAGCGTCAGCATCTGCGCGACCATCGTAGATCACCTTGCAGATGCGCTTGGACTCCAGTACGAGGCTCAACTGTCCTAAACTGAAAGCATCACGCCCAACTGCGGCGATGTCGAAGAGAAAGACATCCCCTTTGGGTGTGCAAACCTGGATCAAAGCCACTGGGCCTGTTCGACACAAATCGATGCCTTCCACGTCCATTGCCAGCTCTGTTTGTAAGAGCAGTTGGCAGGTCGCGGCTCGGCATTGTTCAACAGTGTCCACGAGGGACACCCTCTGCGACATTGGGAGATCTTGACGGGACGTTGCGCAGTCAGCTCTAATTATGAAACAATCGGGCCTTTAGTGTCCTGTGGCCAGGGAAAGATCTCGCGATGGACACTATTACGAGTACGATTTCGGTTACGATTACTATTACTACGATTATTATTAAAATTACTATTCTAATATCATAGTAATAAATAATCATTGTGCTGAATAATCATAATAATGATCGTAAATTATTGTGTAGTAGTGGTTGTAGTAGTAGTAGTAGTAGTAGTAGTAGTAGTAGTAGTAGTAGTAGTAGTAGTAGTAGTAGTAGTAGTAGTAGTACTAGTAGTGGTAGTGGTGGTGGTAGTAGTAGTAGTAGTCGTAGAATAGTAATAATAGTTACAATAGTAATAACAATAATAATAAGAGTAATCGTAATAGCAGTAGTAGTAGCAGTAGTAGTAGCAGTAGTAGTAGTAGTAGCAGTAGCAGCAGCAGCAGCAGCAGCAGGAGTAGTAGTCGTAGTAGTACTAGTAGTAGTAGTAGTAGTAGTAGTAGTAGTAGTAGTAGTAGTAGTAGTAGTACTACTACTACTACTACTACTAGTAGTAGTAATAGGAATTAGTAAGAGTAATAGTAATAGTAATAGTAGTAATAGTAAAATAGTAATAGTAGTGGCAATTACTATTACTATTACTATATGATACTATCTAGATACTTTTGCCATTCAAGTACCTATATAGGGACAATTTTAAGGCCGGACACACTTAGCTGGGGGCGCTGGCTCTCGACCACTCCGGGGAGCTGCTCTGGCGCGCACATCACAAAGCCGAGCCTGCCATTTCGGGGTTTAGGGTTTCGGGTTTGGGGTTTAGGGTTCAGGGTTCAGGGTTTAGGGTTTAGGGTTTAGGGTTTAGGGTTTAGGGTTTAGGGTTTAGGGTTTGGAATTTAGGGTGTAGGGCTTAGAGTTTAGGGTTTAGAGCTTAGGGTCTAGGGCGTTCGCGTGTTCATGTCATTCACTTTGCTCACGCGGTACGATACCAATTTTTATTAGTGGGGCAACAAGGCCGTAAATTCAATGGGCCCTAGGCCCTAAACATTGCATTCTACCAACATGATCACAGTCCAGGTCTAGGGTTTAGATGGGGGTTGGTTTTGGACATCAGACTTGCTAGGAACTGCTGGACGCGATTGAAACCCACATCCAACATGTGTGTCCAACAAAGGGAGACCCTAAAGCTTCATCAGATCTGCCGAGGGTAGCCGAACCGCACCCTGACGGAAAGGCCCATGAGATTTTGCGTGTGCGCTGCGAGCAGGTTGGGAGCAACAGCTCAATCCAGACAAGCTTCACCATTTCTTCCCTAACCCCTAAACCCCATAGACCCTTAGCCACCCCTTAATCCCCGAAAAACCCTTTGCTTCGTAGGGCTTTATGCAAATCAAAGCCCTATGGAACAACCCCTAAGGAAACTACAGTTGTAGGGCTCGGGGCTTTATAATAGGGATGGTAAGGCTCATCGGATTGAGTTTTTACAGGGTCTTTATCGGTTCGAAAAGGTGAATCGTGTTTACTCTTGCAGGGCTTAAGCAGGGGTTTGGGGTTTAGCCGGTTTATGGGGTCTATGGGGCTTATGGCGTTTACGGGGTTCATACGGCTTTGGGTTATAACTGAAATAATCCAAAACATTGCCTGGCTACTGGTAGCACACACTATGATACACCCTTCGTCCAGATAGACCGAAGCATGAAACCAGTCATTGGCGGTTATCCAGCAAACATGCAAAGGCCCGAAACCTAAACCGTAGAGCCTACCCGGTAGCGTCTACCCCGAAATTCGCAGGTAGAGAGAGGGTCCGGTATAAAGCCTTAGACCAGGAACCCTGGGCACGGTGGGTTCTTTGGAGTTTTGGAGCTGCTCAGCTTGGGACAAGGGCGCAGGCTTCATTGCAGTGGTGGGAAAGTTGGCCTTGGGGCCTTAGGGGTGCATCGTTTCGGGTGGCTGGGTGGATTTGGGGGGACCTCTTGAAGTTCTTGGGTATATAGGGCTCTTTGAGGATTAGGGCCCACGGAAGTCCTCCAAATCTACCCCAGCCACAGATTTCTCCAACTGTGCTTGCTGCGCATCCGACGATGGGGGCGTCGACATCGCAGTGGTCACTGTGGAGTGATGCTGAGGATCTTAATGGCGCCACCCTCGTTGCAGATGGAGGCCGCGGGACGCACGGGCCCGTGCAAGTCTGAGAAGGCGATGCCGAGTGGCTTGCCGTCGTAGGTGAAGCTCACGGTGCGCGCCGCAAAGTCAAGCTCGCAAGTGACGATGGCTCCCTGCTGCCAGGCAGGGCCGTACATGGTGCCTCCCCGGCTGCGGTGGTTCTTGGCACCATCGTGGCCATAGTAGCCCCAGCCCTCGCCGGCGGGGCCACCCGCGAACCCGATCGGGCACAGCGCGGCAGTCGTGTCCGTGCCCTCGGGCACCACGCCCACCGCGACGCTCCACGACCCGCGCGTGATCGCCACCACTTCGAACTTGATGACGTGCGCTCCCTCCTTGAGGACGGCGTGCGACTGCACAGTTGCAAATTGGTGCCCGCCATCTTGCGCCGTCACAGTGACACCGTCGTCCAGCACCTTGAACTTGGCCGGCAGAATGGACCGATCCCAGCCGATCTCGCCGTGTGCCATTCCGTCCACTTGCCTGCCGCCCTCTCTCTGCGCCGCGGCTGGAGGCTTGCTTCGTTGGCCCGAAATGGTTACGGCGAGGCACTGCCCTAAGAAAATGGGCAGGGGGGGGGCTGCGTTTCTCTAATTTTTTGGGGTCTAGGACAGGGTTTCGCAGGGGCCGAAAGGGAGCCAAGAAGAATGATGCTATTTAACGTGTGTTTATACAAGTGTGTGACAACATTAAAGACAGTTGTTGTAATTGAGTTGTCCCTTCTACAAGTCCCTGCATCCGATCAACTCCCAACTGCTCCTAAAGCGCTCAGCCTCAAACCCTAAACCCGAAAGCTTACCCTAAACCCTAAACCCTGAACCCTAAACCCTAAACCCACTAATGAACCCTCAAGGGCTTTCTTGGCCTCGGGGCTGGCAGATGTAAACATTGATGGGTGACCTTGGCGGAAGTACATTTTCCTGCAGTTACTTGAGCCCAGGAACAGCAGTTCAGAACGCGACAGGACAAAGGCTTGGCAACATAGACATGTCAAAACAGGGTCTCTAGATTCTGGGCCGTTGGTAGTCCTTTCTCACATTCGTCAAAAAGATTCAAAAAGCCATCATGGTTTGGGGTTAGCTCCAGCAACTTGTGCTGTAACAGTTGGCTGCGCGCTGAGAACTTATGAAGAAACCCTTGCATTTCTCGATGACGGTTGGGTCGAAGCACTTGGGCGCCGCATTGGTGGAGGACCTTTACCACGCACTGCCAGAACGTCAGGGGAGACAAGTATCCCAAAATTGCACATTCCAGATTCCAAGATGCTTGCTGATGAACATGCGCGATCGGCCCAGTCCGCCTGATGCCATCCTCCAAGCACAAATCCCCTCTTGTCCGGTGAGCACGGCACTACTCGACATTTGCACAAGTGTATCCCAAGCTGATGCCCTCACAGTTGTCGGAAGGTCCTCGAAGGGTTTGCCAGCTCCTTTGCAGAACAAGGATGATGTGGCACTTCGACCAAATGCACCGGCAAGATGCTAGGTAACGGTGGCTCGTGTCCAGCACAAATGCATTTTGAGGCCAGGACCACAGAACTCTCGTGCAACAGCGCAGGGTGTGGCAGAGAAATGGCCGACCATCCGTCGGCTCCTGAACCCTGCAATACCCTGCTGCCTTCAACTCATAAAAGGCCTGTAGCAGCCAGTTGGAAGACATGCGGCCGACAATCCGTCTGCCCTGCCTCTCCGCTTGAAATGCGCTAAACTGCGAGCCGTTGAAATAAACAAAGTCGAAGGCTTCCAAAGAAGCAGAGAATGCAGCAAGCGTGCGTGGCCGACAATACATCAGCACACCCACACCAGCTGTATCTGTGCAAACTGCTTCCACGGTTGTGATCTGTACAGAGAAAACTTTCAGCTTCATTCGCCCGCACATTATGACCCTAGCACTAGCGGGACGCTTTGACAAGCCTTGGAGCGCCACCTTCGCAGCTCATGGAAGAGGCAGCGGCAGAAATCAAAGCATCCAGTGGCGAACGATTGGGTGTCCCATGCATCTGCCTCCAAAGTGATTACCAGGTCCTTGGTCGGATCTTGATGGACACTGGCGTGGTAGGCTCATTGCTGACGAAGCTTGTGGTCTCCTCGAGCGGGGGCTTGTCCCACTTTTCAAGCACAAACTTCTGCACCACTTTGGCGATGACCAGCAAACCCTCATACTCGGCCAGCCGCATGCCAAGGCAGATACGTGGGCCATAGCCGAAGGCCAAGGTATCAAAGGGCGGATGCTTCACAATGCCCTCGGGTCCCAACCAACGGGACGGACGGAAGTCGTGCAAGTCATCCCCGAGCTTCTTCTTGACTTCAGGGTCCTTCTTGAGAATGTTCCTGATTGCAACGTAGAACTCCGTGCCCGCCGGCACCTTTCGGCCCGCAAGGGTGACTTCCTCCGTGGACTGAAAGTCCAGAAATGAGCCCGGACCATGGCATCGAAGGGTTTCCAGCCATACCGCCTGCACCAAAGGAAGCGACTCAGCCTCGGCCAAGGAAAGCTCCTCATCTGGCAACGACTTGACTTCATCAGCTACTGCAGCTTGAAGCTCTAGATCCTGGGACAAGTAATACAGCGCCCAGCACAAGGCTAAGCTGGTTGTGTCAGTACCGGCCACAAACAAAACAGTCAGGTTGTCCATCAGTTCGCCGTGGCTGAACTTGTCCCCATCCATGTCCCTGAGCTTCTCCGCAATGCTCCGGCCACCACTCTTGGCATTCTGCATGATCTGCTCGGATCGGCTGTAGAAGCGCCTTGAGACCTCTGCACCATGATCGAAGAGTCGCGCCAGGCCCGGAATCTTCCAGTAGGGGAGCGGAGCATACATGCGAGATTGGAGGGCATGGAAGAAGGCTTTCACATCGTCGACAATGTCGGAGCTCCGTGTCTCCAGCATCCGCAGCTCCTGTCCCAAAGCTGTCTTGCAGATCACGTCCGCAGTGTATAGCGGCAGCAGCTCAGAGAAGTTTGCCTCTCCCTTCGTGGAGACATCTCGGCCCAGTTCTCTGAGAAGCTGCTGGGTGACATGCTCCACGGCTGGGACGTAGCTCTCAACGTTTTTTCGGCTGAATGCAGGGGAGAGGACCCGCCTCTCACGCTTCCAGCGCTCTCCCTCCGAGAAGAAAGAGCCGGCGATGATGTCCACCACGTTCTGCAGCCGCCAGTTCTTTGGCATCTTGTGAGGACGTCGTGAGAGGATCGGCTGGGCTTGCTCCCAGCTACAGCAGACCACCGTCCGGGATCCAGCCAAGTTCATCTCAAACACACCCTCTTCACCATAGGCATCAGACCACTCCTGAAATCATAGTCACAGTGCAGTTGCGGTGTGTTAGTGGCAATTTTTTGGGCTTGTCAAGCAGCGCAACACCTTCAGACCAATCACGGTACAAGATCACAGCCAACAAGCATTGAACTTGGGAAGTTCCCCCTTATACTAACATTCCTTCATAGGGAATATAGTACCCCCCCGCCCTATTATAATCCCTATTCAGGGCTGTTAGTATAACGGGGGAACATCCCAGCATCAAACCCTCAGCAAGCCCAGCTCCTCAAGCTTCTGCGTGATCAACTTTCCTGGCGCCAAAACACCAACAACTGTGAATCAGCGCGTGGCTCTCTGACCCCAAAGGACTCCCCAGCAAGACTCACAGCATGTTAGTCCATAAACAAACACAGAGACACAGACACAGACAGACAGACAGGCAGACAGACAGAGACAGACAGCCCAGTCCTCCCGGGCCAAGCTCCGGAAGTACACCAAGGAACCATGAGCCTGGCACTTCACGAAAGCGGTCCACCCGAGAACGGAGCAACAGCCTGATGGCCAAAAGGGATGCTCCCGCTCCAGCCAAGCCGATTGCCAATGCCCCCTTCCGGTCAGTGACGGTCTGCAAGGCCTGTGCCACTGCCATCTCACCCAACAGAAAAGATATGTGAGGGACTGCGAGCTTTGCTGGAACAAAAAATGCTGCAGTCAAACAAATCAACGTCTCAGGCACTTCTGCTGGGTGACGGAAAAACTTCTGCAAACTCCAGATCCTTTGCTGCTGGTGCTGCTGCACGGGGACGCCGCGCTGGTGCAGGACCTTACCACGCACTGCCAGAAAAGGAAAATGAGAATGAGTCATGAAGGCCGGTGGCCTCCTTATCTGTTATCCTTATACCTCAATATAGCCTCTAGATGTCGTAACAGGAACCCCGAATATATAAAGCAAAAACCCTACTTAAAGAGACCGCCAACCCACGTAAAGAATGAGCATAGCTTGTGTTTACATTGACCGTTGTTTGAAGATATTAGTTATAAGGTACAGACACAATTTGTATGTGATCTGGTTCAAATAACTCCAACAGTACTTCGTTGAGTACTATACCAATATCCTATTCAAAATTATGTTCATGGCCCACTCTTATAACTTAAGCAAACGCTTTCCAGGGAACAAGTATACCAGAACAACACATTCCCGGTTACAAGATGCTTGCTGAACTGGCGCGATCGGCCCACT